GTTTGTAATTCATACAACCCAGCCTAAACAAACTACTTTTCTTGCCTACATATGTGGTCAAAAACATTCATGTGTAATTATGATTTGTGAATTGACTTCATTTCCCAAGATGCATTGAGCAATGGTGAAAGGCACGTGATTCACGTGGAGTTTTGTTTATGTTTGGTGATTTTGGCAACGGCCATCTTGTGGAAGATTTGCTGAACAAGCACGCTGTATTCATCTTTGTTTCTTTTTCATTAAACGTCTAAACGAAGCAGCGTCTCTCATCGTCATTCCTAGTCTATAAGACGATAAATGTACAACACTCACTGCTCTGTGTGTGTGTGTGTGTGTGTGTGTGTGTTCAATGCTCACTGCTCTGTGTGTGTGTGTGTGTTCAATGCTCACTGCTCTGTGTGTGTGTGTGTTCAATGCTCACTGCTCTGTGTGTGTGTGTGTGTGTTCAATGCTCACTGCTCTGTGTGTGTGTGTGTGTGTGTTCAATGCTCACTGCTCTGTGTGTGTGTGTGTGTGTGTTCAATGCTCACTGCTCTGTGTGTGTGTGTGTGTGTGTTCAATGCTCACTGCTCTGTGTGTGTGTGTGTGTGTGTGTGTGTGTTCAATGCTCACTGCTCTGTGTGTGTGTGTGTTCAATGCTCACTGCTCTGTGTGTGTGTGTGTGTGTGTGTGTGTGTTCAATGCTCACTGCTCTGTGTGTGTGTGTGTGTGTTCAATGCTCACTGCTCTGTGTGTGTGTGTGTTCAATGCTCACTGCTCTGTGTGTGTGTGTGTGTGTTCAATGCTCACTGCTCTGTGTGTGTGTGTGTGTGTGTTCAATGCTCACTGCTCTGTGTGTGTGTGTGTGTGTGTTCAATGCTCACTGCTCTGTGTGTGTGTGTGTGTGTGTTCAATGCTCACTGCTCTGTGTGTGTGTGTGTGTGTGTGTTCAATGCTCACTGCTCTGTGTGTGTGTGTGTGTGTGTGTTCAATGCTCACTGCTCTGTGTGTGTGTGTGTTCAATGCTCACTGCTCTGTGTGTGTGTGTGTGTTCAATGCTCACTGCTCTGTGTGTGTGTGTGTTCAATGCTCACTGCTCTGTGTGTGTGTGTGTGTGTGTGTTCAATGCTCACTGCTCTGTGTGTGTGTGTGTGTGTGTTCAATGCTCACTGCTCTGTGTGTGTGTGTGTTCAATGCTCACTGCTCTGTGTGTGTGTGTGTGTGTGTGTGTTCAATGCTCACTGCTCTGTGTGTGTGTGTGTTCAATGCTCACTGCTCTGTGTGTGTGTGTGTGTGTTCAATGCTCACTGCTCTGTGTGTGTGTGTGTGTGTGTTCAATGCTCACTGCTCTGTGTGTGTGTGTGTGTGTGTTCAATGCTCACTGCTCTGTGTGTGTGTGTGTGTGTGTTCAATGCTCACTGCTCTGTGTGTGTGTGTGTGTGTGTGTTCAATGCTCACTGCTCTGTGTGTGTGTGTGTGTGTGTGTGTGTGTGTTCAATGCTCACTGCTCTGTGTGTGTGTGTGTGTGTGTTCAATGCTCACTGCTCTGTGTGTGTGTGTGTGTGTGTGTGTGTTCAATGCTCACTGCTCTGTGTGTGTGTGTGTGTGTGTGTGTGTGTGTGTTCAATGCTCACTGCTCTGTGTGTGTTCAATGCTCACTGCTCTGTGTGTGTGTGTGTGTGTGTGTGTTCAATGCTCACTGCTCTGTGTGTGTGTGTGTGTGTGTGTTCAATGCTCACTGCTCTGTGTGTGTGTGTGTGTGTGTGTGTGTGTGTGTGTTCAATGCTCACTGCTCTGTGTGTGTGTGTTCAATGCTCACTGCTCTGTGTGTGTGTGTGTTCAATGCTCACTGCTCTGTGTGTGTGTGTGTGTGTGTGTGTGTGTGTTCAATGCTCACTGCTCTGTGTGTGTGTGTGTGTGTGTGTGTGTTCAATGCTCACTGCTCTGTGTGTGTGTGTTCAATGCTCACTGCTCTGTGTGTGTGTGTGTTCAATGCTCACTGCTCTGTGTGTGTGTGTGTGTGTGTTCAATGCTCACTGCTCTGTGTGTGTGTGTTCAATGCTCACTGCTCTGTGTGTGTGTGTGTGTGTGTGTGTGTGTCCAATGCTCACTGCTCTGTGTGTGTGTGTGTGTGTGTTCAATGCTCACTGCTCTGTGTGTGTGTGTTCAATGCTCACTGCTCTGTGTGTGTGTGTGTGTGTGTGTGTGTGTGTGTGTGTTCAATGCTCACTGCTCTGTGTGTGTGTGTGTGTGTTCAATGCTCACTGCTCTGTGTGTGTGTGTTCAATGCTCACTACTCTGTGTGTGTGTGTGTGTTCAATGCTCACTACTCTGTGTGTGTGTGTGTGTGTTCAATGCTCACTGCTCTGTGTGTGTGTGTGTTCAATGCTCACTACTCTGTGTGTGTGTGTGTGTGTTCAATGCTCACTGCTCTGTGTGTGTGTGTGTTCAATGCTCACTGCTCTGTGTGTGTGTGTGTGTGTGTTCAATGCTCACTGCTCTGTGTGTGTGTGTGTGTGTTCAATGCTCACTGCTCTGTGTGTGTGTGTGTGTGTGTGTGTTCAATGCTCACTGCTCTGTGTGTGTGTGTTCAATGCTCACTGCTCTGTGTGTGTGTGTGTGTGTGTGTGTGTGTGTGTGTGTGTGTGTGTGTTCAATGCTCACTGCTCTGTGTGTGTGTGTGTGTGTGTTCAATGCTCACTGCTCTGTGTGTGTGTGTTCAATGCTCACTGCTCTGTGTGTGTGTGTGTTCAATGCTCACTGCTCTGTGTGTGTGTGTGTGTGTGTGTGTGTGTGTTCAATGCTCACTGCTCTGTGTGTGTGTGTGTGTGTTCAATGCTCACTGCTCTGTGTGTGTGTGTTCAATGCTCACTGCTCTGTGTGTGTGTGTGTGTGTGTGTGTGTGTGTTCAATGCTCACTGCTCTGTGTGTGTGTGTGTGTTCAATGCTCACTGCTCTGTGTGTGTTCAATGCTCACTGCTCTGTGTGTGTGTGTGTGTGTTCAATGCTCACTGCTCTGTGTGTGTGTGTGTGTTCAATGCTCACTGCTCTGTGTGTGTGTGTGTTCAATGCTCACTGCTCTGTGTGTGTGTGTGTGTTCAATGCTCACTGCTCTGTGTGTGTGTTCAATGCCCACTGCTCTGTGTGTGTGTGTGTGTTCAATGCTCACTGCTCTGTGTGTGTGTGTGTGTGTGTGTTCAATGCTAACTGCTCTGTGTGTGTGTGTGTGTGTGTGTGTGTGTGTTCAATGCTCACTGCTCTGTGTGTGTGTGTGTTCAATGCTCACTGCTCTGTGTGTGTGTGTGTGTGTGTGTGTTCAATGCTAACTGCTCTGTGTGTGTGTGTGTGTGTGTTCAATGCTCACTGCTCTGTGTGTGTGTGTGTGTGTGTGTGTGTGTGTGTTCAATGCTCACTGCTCTGTGTGTGTGTGTGTTCAATGCTCACTGCTCTGTGTGTGTGTGTGTGTGTGTGTGTTCAATGCTCACTGCTCTGTGTGTGTGTGTGTTCAATGCTCACTGCTCTGTGTGTGTGTGTGTGTTCAATGCTCACTGCTCTGTGTGTGTGTGTGTGTGTTCAATGCTCACTGCTCTGTGTGTGTGTGTGTGTTCAATGCTCACTGCTCTGTGTGTGTGTGTGTGTTCAATGCTCACTGCTCTGTGTGTGTGTGTGTGTTCAATGCTCACTGCTCTGTGTGTGTGTGTGTGTTCAATGCTCACTGCTCTGTGTGTGTGTGTGTGTGTGTGTGTGTTCAATGCTCACTGCTCTGTGTGTGTGTGTGTGTGTGTGTGTGTGTGTGTTCAATACTCGCTGCTGTGTGTGTTCAATACTCACTGCGGTGTGTGTGTGTTCAATGCTCACTGCTCTGTGTGTGTGTGTGTGTGTTCAATGCTAACTGCTCTGTGTGTGTGTGTGTGTGTGTTCAATGCTCACTGCTCTGTGTGTGTGTGTGTGTGTGTGTGTGTTCAATGCTCACTGCTCTGTGTGTGTGTGTGTGTTCAATGCTCACTGCTCTGTGTGTGTGTGTGTGTGTGTGTGTGTGTGTTCAATGCTCACTGCTCTGTGTGTGTGTGTGTTCAATGCTCACTGCTCTGTGTGTGTGTGTGTGTTCAATGCTCACTGCTCTGTGTGTGTGTGTGTGTGTGTTCAATGCTCACTGCTCTGTGTGTGTGTGTGTGTTCAATGCTCACTGCTCTGTGTGTGTGTGTGTGTGTGTGTGTGTTCAATACTCGCTGCTGTGTGTGTTCAATACTCACTGCGGTGTGTGTGTGTTCAATGCTCACTGCTCTGTGTGTGTGTGTGTTCAATGCTCACTGCTCTGTGTGTGTGTGTGTGTGTTCAATGCTCACTGCTCTGTGTGTGTGTGTGTGTGTGTGTTCAATGCTCACTGCTCTGTGTGTGTGTGTGTGTGTGTGTGTGTGTGTTCAATGCTCACTGCTCTGTGTGTGTGTGTGTGTTCAATGCTCACTGCTCTGTGTGTGTGTGTGTGTGTGTGTTCAATGCTCACTGCTCTGTGTGTGTGTGTGTGTGTGTGTTCAATGCTCACTGCTCTGTGTGTGTGTGTGTGTGTGTTCAATGCTCACTGCTCTGTGTGTGTGTGTGTGTGTGTGTGTGTTCAATGCTCACTGCTCTGTGTGTGTGTGTTCAATGCTCACTGCTCTGTGTGTGTGTGTGTGTGTTCAATGCTCACTGCTCTGTGTGTGTGTGTTCAATGCTCACTGCTCTGTGTGTGTGTGTGTGTGTGTGTGTGTGTGTGTGTGTGTGTGTGTGTGTGTTCAATACTCGCTGCTGTGTGTGTTCAATACTCACTGCGGTGTGTGTGTGTGTGTGTGTGTGTGTGTGTGTTCAATGCTCACTGCTCTGTGTGTGTGTGTGTGTGTGTTCAATGCTCACTGCTCTGTGTGTGTGTGTGTGTGTGTTCAATACTCACTGCGGTGTGTGTGTGTGTGTGTGTGTGTGTGGAACACCATACTTGGCTACACTCCACTCCTGAAGAAAGCATGAGTGTGTGAGCGCAGGAATACCTCTTTCAGCTGTGTGATCATGCCGAGGACGATCACTTCTCCGACTTTAGCTGTGCTGCCCAGGAGAGCTTCCACCGTCTTCAGCTGCAATATGAAGAGCTGGATCAGTCACAGATCGTGAAGCAGCGATACACACATCTTCAGCAGTGAGGGTTGCTCATGTTTACCTGGAACTTGTTTCTCCCTTCATCTGGAGTTGAACCAATAACCGGAGGAGTGAAGAGCTCGTGCCTGTGTGTTCGCTGTCACACAGATCATGATAAAGAAACTCGGTTAACTCCTGCGATTAGCGTGTGTGTCCTGCGATTAGCGTGTGTGTCCTGCGATTAGCGTGTGTGTCCTGCGATTAGCGTGTGTGTCCTGCGATGTCTCCACTACGACCCTCAGCCTGATAATCAAGCGGCTTTATTATACTGGTTCATTCAGTACATATTTATTCACTGCAAATGATCTGTGTCACTGCATGAAGATAAAAACACTCGTTAGCTAAAGTGCTCAGTGTGACTATTAGGCATGAAGATATTATAAACTTTAGCGGTTTCTGTGTTTGTGAAAGCGCTGTAGGCATAGCCGACTCGTTTCAGTGCAGCGCTTGATTGACAGGTGAGTGTTCAGTCATTCACAATGCATTACAATCACAACGGTCACATGTCTTCCTGAATGACTGCATACGTGAAGCCTGAGTGCGTCTGTGTTCGTGATCGGATCACCTGAGACGGGGTTAATTCTACACGCTATGATGACATCAGTTGAGATCATAAAAGGCAGATGTGGAGCCTTGCCTGTTGCAGGATGGTGTATCGCTCTCGGAAGAGCTCGGCTTTATCTCTGGACTCGCCGCACAGCTTCGGCACCGCGTGAGTCGTCATGCCGACACTAAACCAGCCACACACACACACACACACACACACAGAGAAGCGCACGTCTGCATTCACACGTGACCTGAACACATCGCCTACAGAGTACATGGTTTTTATGGATATTGTTATATATATTGTTGATATTGTTCAATAAACCTGATTTGTTTTCAGTAATAAAAATAAATCTGAAATAAAATATTTGATGAAAAACTATTTTTTTTAAAATAGAAATAGTGCCTTGGATTTAAGATGAAGTAATAAATTACTAAAACTGAAATTAAAATGAATTAAATCTATATAATAATCATTATAATGTAAAAAGCACATAAAATTTGTAAATGTGAAAATAGAATTAAAATAATTGAACAATTGAAAATCAAATTAAAGTATTAATAAATACTATAATTTAACATAAATATTACATTTTCAATGTTAACACTCAAAAAACAAACCAAATGCACTTGATTAGCATTATTATATTGTTTATTTATTCCTTACTGTACAAATTTCTTCCTCTCTGAGCTGAAGACGAATCGAGGAACATCGAAGGCTCCGATGATGTTGAAAACGTTATCACTGAAACCAAAGAACATGAACGTGACTGGCAGTAAAAACACTGTAGAGTTAAGTGTGTGTGTGTGTGTGTGTGTGTGTCTTACATGGTCTCATCACATGACTGACTGACTGCTGTGTGTGTGTGTGTGTCTCTTACATGGTCTCATCACATGTCTGACTGACTGACTGCTGTCTGTGTGTGTGTGTGTGTGTGTGTCTTACATGGTCTCATCACATGACTGACTGACTGCTGTCTGTGTGTGTGTGTGTGTCTTACATGGTCTCATCACATGTCTGACTGACTGCTGTCTGTGTGTGTGTGTGTGTGTCTCTTACATGGTCTCATCACATGTCTGACTGACTGACTGCTGTGTGTGTGTGTGTCTTACATGGTCTCATCACATGTCTGACTGACTGCTGTGTGTGTGTGTGTGTGTGTCTTACATGGTCTCATCACATGACTGACTGACTGCTGTGTGTGTGTGTGTGTCTCTTACATGGTCTCATCACATGTCTGACTGACTGACTGCTGTGTGTGTGTGTGTGTCTCTTACATGGTCTCATCACATGTCTGACTGACTGACTGCTGTGTGTGTGTGTGTGTGTGTCTTACATGGTCTCATCACATGTCTGACTGACTGACTGCTGTGTGTGTGTGTGTGTGTGTGTGTGTGTGTGTCTTACATGGTCTCATCACATGTCTGACTGACTGACTGCTGTGTGTGTGTGTGTGTGTGTGTGTGTGTGTCTTACATGGTCTCATCACATGTCTGACTGACTGACTGCTGTGTGTGTGTGTGTGTGTGTGTGTGTGTCTTACATGGTCTCATCACATGTCTGACTGACTGACTGCTGTGTGTGTGTGTGTGTGTGTGTGTGTGTCTTACATGGTCTCATCACATGTCTGACTGACTGACTGCTGTGTGTGTGTGTGTGTGTGTGTGTGTGTCTTACATGGTCTCATCACATGTCTGACTGACTGACTGCTGTGTGTGTGTGTGTGTGTGTGTGTGTGTGTCTTACATGGTCTCATCACATGACTGACTGACTGCTGTGTGTGTGTGTGTGTGTGTGTCTCTTACATGGTCTCATCACATGTCTGACTGACTGCTGTGTGTGTGTGTGTGTGTGTGTCTTACATGGTCTCATCACATGACTGACTGACTGCTGTGTGTGTGTGTGTGTGTGTCTTACATGGTCTCATCACATGACTGACTGACTGACTGCTGTCTGTGTGTGTGTGTGTGTGTGTCTTACATGGTCTCATCACATGACTGACTGACTGACTGCTGTCTGTGTGTGTGTGTGTGTGTGTCTTACATGGTCTCATCACATGACTGACTGACTGACTGACTGCTGTGTGTGTGTGTGTGTGTGTCTCTTACATGGTCTCATCACATGACTGACTGACTGACTGACTGCTGTGTGTGTGTGTCTTACATGGTCTCATCACATGACTGACTGACTGACTGACTGCTGTCTGTGTGTGTGTGTGTCTCTTACATGGTCTCATCACATGACTGACTGACTGACTGCTGTCTGTGTGTGTGTGTGTGTGTGTCTTACATGGTCTCATCACATGACTGACTGACTGACTGCTGTGTGTGTGTGTGTGTGTCTCTTACATGGTCTCATCACATGACTGACTGACTGACTGCTGTCTGTGTGTGTGTGTGTGTGTGTCTTACATGGTCTCATCACATGACTGACTGACTGACTGACTGCTGTGTGTGTGTGTGTGTGTCTCTTACATGGTCTCATCACATGACTGACTGACTGACTGCTGTGTGTGTGTGTGTGTCTCTTACATGGTCTCATCACATGACTGACTGACTGACTGCTGTGTGTGTGTGTGTGTCTCTTACATGGTCTCATCACATGTCTGACTGACTGACTGCTGTGTGTGTGAATGTGTGTCTCTTACATGGTCTCATCACATGACTGACTGACTGACTGCTGTGTGTGTGTGTGTGTCTCTTACATGGTCTCATCACATGTCTGTCTGACTGACTGCTCTGTGTGTGTGTGTGTGTGTGTGTCTTACATGGTCTCATCACATGACTGACTGACTGACTGCTCTGTGTGTGTGTGTGTGTCTTACATGGTCTCATCACATGACTGACTGACTGACTGACTGCTGTGTGTGTGTGTGTGTGTGTGTGTCTTACATGGTCTCATCACATGTCTGTCTGACTGACTGCTCTGTGTGTGTGTGTGTGTGTGTCTTACATGGTCTCATCACATGTCTGTCTGACTGACTGCTCTGTGTGTGTGTGTGTGTGTGTCTTACATGGTCTCATCACATGTCTGTCTGACTGACTGCTGTGTGTGTGTGTGTGTCTCTTACATGGTCTCATCACATGACTGACTGACTGACTGCTGTGTGTGTGTGTGTGTCTCTTACATGGTCTCATCACATGTCTGACTGACTGACTGCTGTGTGTGTGAATGTGTGTCTCTTACATGGTCTCATCACATGACTGACTGACTGACTGCTGTGTGTGTGTGTGTGTCTCTTACATGGTCTCATCACATGACTGACTGACTGACTGCTGTCTGTGTGTGTGTGTGTGTGTGTCTTACATGGTCTCATCACATGACTGACTGACTGACTGCTGTCTGTGTGTGTGTGTGTGTGTGTCTTACATGGTCTCATCACATGACTGACTGACTGACTGCTGTCTGTGTGTGTGTGTGTGTGTCTTACATGGTCTCATCACATGACTGACTGACTGACTGACTGCTGTGTGTGTGTGTGTGTGTGTCTCTTACATGGTCTCATCACATGACTGACTGACTGACTGACTGCTGTGTGTGTGTGTCTTACATGGTCTCATCACATGACTGACTGACTGACTGACTGCTGTGTGTGTGTGTGTGTGTCTCTTACATGGTCTCATCACATGTCTGTCTGACTGACTGCTCTGTGTGTGTGTGTGTGTGTGTGTCTTACATGGTCTCATCACATGACTGACTGACTGACTGCTCTGTGTGTGTGTGTGTGTCTTACATGGTCTCATCACATGACTGACTGACTGACTGACTGCTGTGTGTGTGTGTGTGTGTGTGTGTGTGTCTTACATGGTCTCATCACATGTCTGTCTGACTGACTGCTCTGTGTGTGTGTGTGTGTGTGTCTTACATGGTCTCATCACATGTCTGTCTGACTGACTGCTCTGTGTGTGTGTGTGTGTGTGTCTTACATGGTCTCATCACATGTCTGTCTGACTGACTGCTCTGTGTGTGTGTGTGTGTGTGTCTTACATGGTCTCATCACATGTCTGTCTGACTGACTGCTCTGTGTGTGTGTGTGTGTGTCTTACATGGTCTCATCACATGTCTGTCTGACTGACTGCTCTGTGTGTGTGTGTGTGTGTGTGTGTGTCTTACATGGTCTCATCACATGTCTGTCTGACTGACTGCTCTGTGTGTGTGTGTGTGTGTGTGTGTCTTACATGGTCTCATCACATGTCTGTCTGACTGACTGCTCTGTGTGTGTGTGTGTGTGTGTCTTACATGGTCTCATCACATGTCTGTCTGACTGACTGCTCTGTGTGTGTGTGTGTCTTACATGGTCTCATCACATGTCTGTCTGACTGACTGCTCTGTGTGTGTGTGTGTGTGTCTTACATGGTCTCATCACATGTCTGTCTGACTGACTGCTCTGTGTGTGTGTGTGTGTGTGTGTGTCTTACATGGTCTCATCACATGTCTGACTGACTGACTGCTCTGTGTGTGTGTGTGTCTTACATGGTCTCATCACATGTCTGTCTGACTGACTGCTCTGTGTGTGTGTGTGTGTGTGTGTCTTACATGGTCTCATCACATGTCTGTCTGACTGACTGCTCTGTGTGTGTGTGTGTCTTACATGGTCTCATCACATGACTGACTGACTGACTGCTGTGTGTGTGTGTGTGTGTGTGTCTTACATGGTCTCATCACATGTCTGTCTGACTGACTGCTCTGTGTGTGTGTGTGTGTGTGTGTCTTACATGGTCTCATCACATGACTGACTGACTGACTGACTGACTGCTGTGTGTGTGTGTCTTACATGGTCTCATCACATGACTGACTGACTGACTGACTGCTGTGTGTGTGTGTGTGTGTGTCTTACATGGTCTCATCACATGTCTGACTGACTGACTGCTCTGTGTGTGTGTGTGTGTGTGTCTTACATGGTCTCATCACATGTCTGTCTGACTGACTGACTGCTCTGTGTGTGTGTGTGTGTGTGTGTGTGTGTGTGTCTTACATGGTCTCATCACATGTCTGTCTGACTGACTGACTGCTCTGTGTGTGTGTGTGTGTGTGTGTGTGTGTGTGTGTGTGTGTCTTACATGGTCTCATCACATGACTGACTGCAGTCCTGAACAGCCGCTTCTGCCACAGACAGTTCAATCATGCTGGACGACACTGACAACACAGACAGAACTCATCATCACAACAACAATCATCATCAAAACAATAACAAACAATCATCATCATCATCATCATGATGATGATGGTGGTGGTAAAACAGACATACGAGGCTGCTTTTCAACAGCATCTAAGATTCTCTCCAGAACTTCATCCAGATCCGCTTCACTGACGGACTCCAGAACCTGCAGCAGAAACCGGCTGGACTCCCTGCGGGGGAAACACGAATCATCACTGCACAACAACCCTGGCAAACACGGCGCGAATAAACCAATGTTGATGAACTGAGTTCCACGTACGGTCGCAGGATTAATCCGCGCATTTTAAATCCCGCGCTCACTTTCAGCTTCACTCTGCGCGCGTCCATCTTCATTTGCCGCTCCCGCGCAACTGGCGCTTCCGTAACATCGCACTTCAAAATAAAAGCCGTGTTTAGTTCCTCAGCTACAGTTACATTTCTACACCTTTCAAAATAAAAGCCGTGTTTAGTGCCTCAGCTACAGTTAAATTCCTCTTTGTTAACAGTTTTTTTTTTTTTAGTATTAGTTTTGTTTCAGATAAACCCTTTGTTTGTAAAAGTATTGATTAAGATGACTGACAGAAAACTAAAGAGACAGAAGCGCTCTTTCACACACGCGCACGCGCGTCGCTGCATGTTGTTGTTTTGCGCGTGACACGAGCTGCCAGATCCAGTCCCTCGGTTACTGTACTAATATCAGCACTATTAATAATCGTGATGAGTGAAACAGTGGCTCGAGAGAGAAGCGGACACACCGCGGCGGCGGACGGACAGTATTTATATGTCTGGGGTGGTTATGTGGTAATAATAATAATAATCTTGAATATTTCACATATTTCTGCTCACAAATGGACAGTGTTTACCATTTAACAGTTCATGTTTGATAACACTTTTACTGCACAAATCAAATTATTGTTCTTTCTGATGATTGATTCTTCAGTCGGTGGCAGAACATGAAGTTTTTCTTCCAAATGACGAGCTTTGGCTGTATGACTTAGAAACTGGGTTATGGTAAGAATGATTTATGACTGTCAACAAGCATATGTTTGTGTGCGTGTGCCCGTGTGCGTGCGCGCGCACATGCTGCCTCTGTTGTTGTTGGTATGTGTTAGTTGAGCTTAAAGCTGTAGTCCGTAGCTTTTTTGGGTAAAAAATTATCCAAAATAATTTTTTTTAAAAATACATAACCAGCCAGTGTTCAACACTCTCTGCTTGCCTTAGCTCGATTCAAAACGGCAAGCTTGTAATAATGTTTTTAATTCCGGTGGTACTGGCGGATTTCCGCAGGGGACTCGAGCATGTCTTTGCGTCAATACGTCACATCTGTACACACACATCTGCACACACACATCTGTACACACACGTACACACACTTCTGTACACACACATCTGTACACACACATCTGTACACACACGTACACACACTTCTGTACACACACATCTGCACACACACATCTGTACACACACGTACACACACATCTGTACACACACATCTGCACACACACATCTGCACACACACATCTGTACACACACGTACACACACTTCTGTACACACACATCTGTACACACACATCTGTACACACACGTACACACACTTCTGTACACACACATCTGTACACACACATCTGTACACACACGTACACACACTTCTGTACACACACATCTGTACACACACATCTGTACACACACGTACACACACTTCTGTACACACACATCTGCACACACACATCTGTACACACACGTACACACACATCTGTACACACACATCTGCACACACACATCTGCACACACACATCTGTACACACACGTACACACACTTCTGTACACACACATCTGCACACACACATCTGTACACACACGTACACACACTTCTGTACACACACATCTGCACACACACATCTGTACACACACGTACACACACTTCTGTACACACACATCTGTACACACACGTACACACACTTCTGTACACACACATCTGTACACACACGTACACACACATCTGCACACACACATCTGTACACACACGTACACACACTTCTGTACACACACATCTGTACACACACATCTGTACACACACGTACACACACTTCTGTACACACACATCTGCACACACACATCTGTACACACACGTACACACACTTCTGTACACACACATCTGCACACACACATCTGTACACACACGTACACACACTTCTGTACACACACATCTGCACACACACATCTGTACACACACGTACACACACTTCTGTACACACACATCTGCACACACACATCTGTACACACACGTACACACACTTCTGTACACACACATCTGCACACACACATCTGTACACACACGTACACACACTTCTGTACACACACATCTGCACACACACATCTGTACACACACGTACACACACTTCTGTACACACACATCTGCACACACACATCTGTACACACACGTACACACACTTCTGTACACACACATCTGCACACACACATCTGTACACACACGTACACACACTTCTGTACACACACATCTGCACACACACATCTGTACACACACGTACACACACTTCTGTACACACACATCTGCACACACACATCTGTACACACGCGTACACACACTTCTGTACACACACATCTGCACACACACATCTGTACACACACGTACACACACTTCTGTACACACACATCTGCACACACACATCTGTACACACACGTACACACACTTCTGTACACACACATCTGCACACACACATCTGTACACACACGTACACACACTTCTGTACACACACATCTGCACACACACATCTGTACACACACGTACACACACTTCTGTACACACACATCTGCACACACACATCTGTACACACACGTACACACACTTCTGTACACACACATCTGTACACACACGTACACACACTTCTGTACACACACATCTGTACACACACGTACACACACTTCTGTACACACACATCTGTACACACACATCTGCACACACACATCTGTACACACACTTCTGTACACACACATCTGTACACACACGTACACACACTTCTGCACACACACATCTGTACACACACGTACACACACTTCTGTACACACACAGCAGAGTCTCGGCTAGTAGGCTGTGAGTGTGAGGATGTTGGAGGTGGAGATTTATAGCCTTTTCTCACTGCACTTGATATAATTAAACATATCTATTTTATGGCGGATCCAGAAAGGTTCAGACGATCACCAGTGACAGCCGGAGACTCACCCGCTGTAACATGCAAAACACTTCGTTCGGACTTCGGAGCGGCGACAGAAGAAGCGACTGCAACCGGCCCGTGCGAAAACAAGGATAATATCGGAAGGGCATTACATGTAGTCACGCAATGCTGATGTTGAACATTAACAATTTGAGAACAAAGTATAATTTGCACGGTTTTACGTGATATGATAAGCGATTGTTAGATTTAGTCAGCGCGATGATTTAGGCTACTGCAGTCTGCAATGATTCTTTCCCCTTAGTTGGTCAGAACCAGAACAGAAGTGGATGTTACTCACTTGTTCAGAGGACATTTTCTGGTGAAAATTATTATGTTGGTCATACTTCCAAAAGTATAATCTGTGATTCTGAACGCCAGTATCCACACGGCGACTGACACACACACTCTCCTCAAACACTGGACTCATCCGCGCTGTGCCGCGCCGAGGCCCAACCCACGTAAAGCTGATAATTACGCGAATAACTGCAATTGCAGATTTCGAACAGAGATGGCGACAAAGAGGAAAAACTGCGGACTGCAGCTTTAAGTGAGTTTTCTCTTCTTCTGCAGGGTCAGGTGTGTGTTAGTGGAGCTTCAGTGAGTTTTCTCTTCTTCTGCAGGGTCAGGTGTGTGTTAGTGGAGCTTCAGTGAGTTTTCTCTTCTTCTGCAGGGTCAGGTGTGTGTTAGTGGAGCTTCAGTGAGTTTTCTCTTCTTCTGCAGGGTCAGGTGTGTGTTAGTGGAGCTTCAGTGAGTTTTCTCTTCTTCTGCAGGGTCAGGTGTGTGTTAGTGGAGCTTCAGTGAGTTTTCTCTTCTTCTGCAGGGTCAGGCGTGTGTTAGTGGAGCTTCAGTGAGTTTTCTCTTCTTCTGCAGGGTCAGGTGTGTGTTAGTGGAGCTTCAGTGAGTTTTCTCTTCTTCTGCAGGGTCAGGTGTGTGTTAGTGGAGCTTCAGTGAGTTTTCTCTTCTTCTGCAGGGTCAGGTGTGTGTTAGTGGAGCTTCAGTGAGTTTTCTCTTCTTCTGCAGGGTCAGGTGTGTGTTAGTGGAGCTTCAGTGAGTTTTCTCTTCTTCTGCAGGGTCAGGTGTGTGTTAGTGGAGCTTCAGTGAGTTTTCTCTTCTTCTGCAGGGTCAGGTGTGTGTTAGTGGAGCTTCAGTGAGTTTTCTCTTCTTCTGCAGGGTCAGGTGTGTGTTAGTGGAGCTTCAGTGAGTTTTCTCTTCTTCTGCAGGGTCAGGTGTGTGTTAGTGGAGCTTCAGTGAGTTTTCTCTTCTTCTGCAGGGTCAGGTGTGTGTTAGTGGAGCTTCAGTGAGTTTTCTCTTCTTCTGCAGGGTCAGGCGTGTGTTAGTGGAGCTTCAGTGAGTTTTCTCTTCTTCTGCAGGGTCAGGTGTGTGTTAGTGGAGCTTCAGTGAGTTTTCTCTTCTTCTGCAGGGTCAGGTGTGTGTTAGTGGAGCTTCAGTGAGTTTTCTCTTCTTCTGCAGGGTCAGGTGTGTGTTAGTGGAGCTTCAGTGAGTTTTCTCTTCTTCTGCAGGGTCAGGTGTGTGTTAGTGGAGCTTCAGTGAGTTTTCTCTTCTTCTGCAGGGTCAGGTGTGTGTTAGTGGAGCTTCAGTGAGTTTTCTCTTCTTCTGCAGGGTCAGGTGTGTGTTAGTGGAGCTTCAGTGAGTTTTCTCTTCTTCTGCAGGGTCAGGTGTGTGTTAGTGGAGCTTCAGTGAGTTTTCTCTTCTTCTGCAGGGTCAGGCGTGTGTTAGTGGAGCTTCAGTGAGTTTTCTCTTCTTCTGCAGGGTCAGGTGTGTGTTAGTGGAGCTTCAGTGAGTTTTCTCTTCTTCTGCAGGGTCAGGCGTGTGTTAGTGGAGCTTCAGTGAGTTTTCTCTTCTTCTGCAGGGTCAGGTGTGTGTTAGTGGAGCTTCAGTGAGTTTTCTCTTCTTCTGCAGGGTCAGGTGTGTGTTAGTGGAGCTTCAGTGAGTTTTCTCTTCTTCTGCAGGGTCAGGTGTGTGTTAGTGGAGCTTCAGTGAGTTTTCTCTTCTTCTGCAGGGTCAGGTGTGTGTTAGTGGAGCTTCAGTGAGTTTTCTCTTCTTCTGCAGGGTCAGGTGTGTGTTAGTGGAGCTTCAGTGAGTTTTCTCTTCTTCTGCAGGGTCAGGTGTGTGTTAGTGGAGCTTCAGTGAGTTTTCTCTTCTTCTGCAGGGTCAGGCGTGTGTTAGTGGAGCTTCAGTGAGTTTTCTCTTCTTCTGCAGGGTCAGGTGTGTGTTAGTGGAGCTTCAGTGAGTTTTCTCTTCTTCTGCAGGGTCAGGTGTGTGTTAGTGGAGCTTCAGTGAGTTTTCTCTTCTTCTGCAGGGTCAGGCGTGTGTTAGTGGAGCTTCAGTGAGTTTTCTCTTCTTCTGCAGGGTCAGGTGTGTGTTAGTGGAGCTTCAGTGAGTTTTCTCTTCTTCTGCAGGGTCAGGTGTGTGTTAGTGGAGCTTCAGTGAGTTTTCTCTTCTTCTGCAGGGTCAGGTGTGTGTTAGTGGAGCTTCAGTGAGTTTTCTCTTCTTCTGCAGGGTCAGGTGTGTGTTAGTGGAGCTTCAGTGAGTTTTCTCTTCTTCTGCAGGGTCAGGTGTGTGTTAGTGGAGCTTCAGTGAGTTTTCTCTTCTTCTGCAGGCTCAGGCGTGGCATGTCCGGGACGGTTCCCCCGTCTCTCTCCGGGACCTGTGGCTGTATTGTGAACGGACTCCTGTATATATTCGGAGGCTGCTGTGATGATGGACAGACTAATGAAGTACAGCTTTATTCAGTGCTGACTCTGTTCTTTTGCATCAGCCAAAGCCAGTACGTTCTTCTGAATAAATGTCTTATTTCAGCTCTACTCAGTGGATCTCCACGACGGGGCGTTCAGCTGGAAGAAGCTCGAGCCCCAGTCCGGGTCTCCGCCGTCGCCGCGAGACAAACTGTCCTGTTGGGTTCATAAAGGAAGGTCAGCGCTTGATACTCATCCACTAATATTTATTAATATGGTCATATCTGTACTGAGTTTTGATGTCCTGCCAGAATGGTGTACTTCGGTGGATATGGCCACAAGCTGCGCAGCGACATCAGGGACCCGAAGAGCTTCGCTGTGGATGAAGCATCATGGGTAGGTGTGCTCGATATGGAGCTGCTCACAGACGAAGAGCGCTGTGAAACGGGTCCGTGTCAGTGTCAGCTTCTCTCGCCAGGCCGAGGACGTCTTCTGGGGGTGGAGCAGTGAAACACACGAGTTTGATCCGGGGAGCAGAAGATGGACTGAACCTCAGACCTTTGTAAGTCATTCAAACGTCATTTAGCATTACCAGCTATGTGAATGCTAGACACAGATGAGTGTGTGTGTGTGTGTGTGTGTGTGTGTGTTCGACAGGGTCGCGCTCCCGCACCGCGAGCCGCTCACGCTAGTGCTACGATCGGCAGTAAAGGTTTCGTATGTGGAGGGAGAATAAAGGTGAGTTACTGTTGTGTTTAATAGAGAAACATCAATCACACTGTTACAGCAGCGGCGTCTCTGAACTCAGCTCTCACACACACACACACACACACTCACACACACACACACTCCTGCCTTTACTGATCACTCCAGAATTACTGTCATGTGCAGTTCTGTTAGCATGCTTGTGTTTGTTTTCTGCACAGGAAACTAGAACATGTGATGTGTTTTGTCTGGATTTGAATTCATGGACATGGTCAGAAATGTAAGACATCTTTCAGGACAGTTACACACTATTTATGTGTGTGTGTGTGTGTGTGAGAGAGAGAGGGCATGTTTAGCTATACTTTTGAAAATTGATTAATAAACATAATAAAATGTGTTTATTTGAAAATGTAAAAATGCAGAAAGTGTTATGTGATGGGTAGGGTTAGTGTCAGCGTCTCCTCCAGTGTGTGTGTGTGTGTGTGTGTGTGTGTGTGTGTTGTACCTGAAGCGGATCTATCTGTGTGTGTTCTGCCGGTCTCTCAGCGTCTCCTGCAGCGTCTCTCCCTCGGGTCGCTCATGGCACACACTCTCACCAGTGTCTGACTCCGCACTCTTTCTGTTCGGTGGACTCAGTGAAGACTGCAGACCCATGAGTGAGTATCAGCACACACACACACACACACACACCCTCTCACACGCGCACACACTCACACACACACACACACACACACACACTCACACACACTCTCTCACACACACACACAGACACACACACACCCTCTCACACGCGCACACACTCACACACACACACACACACACACACACACACACACACTCACACACACTCTCTCACACACACACACAGACACACACACACACTCACACACACTCTCTCACACACACACAGACACACACACACACACACACACACACAGACACACACACACACACACAGACACAGACACACACACACACACACACACACACACACACACACACACACAGACACACACACACACACACAGACACACACACACACACACACTCACACACACTCTCTCACACACACACAGACACACACACACACTCACACACACTCTCTCACACACACAGACACACACACACACACACACACACACACACACAGACACACAGACACACACACACACACACACACTCTCTCACACACATTCTCTCACACACACAGACACACACACACACACACACACACACACACACTCTCTCACAAACACTCTCACACACACACACACTCACACACACTCTCTCACACACACACACAGACACACACACACACACACGCACACACACACACACGCACACACACACTACAGATCAACCCACCCTAACTAGGAGGCGTGCTGGTTGTGTCCAGGCGACGGCTGGCTGCTGGATCTGGAGACGCGAGTCTGGGCGAGGAAGGAGCATCCGCACGAGGACAAGCCACGGTTCGTGAAACATGATCGAGTTTAAACTATCGGTATTTCTACAGGGTTCTATAAGGTCTGCTTTCCTCAGGCTTTGGCACAGCGCTTGTCCCGGAAGAGACTCAGATGTGATTGTGTTCGGAGGAAGTCATGATTATATTCTTCTGGTGGACAAAGTAAGTCTGGAGCTTCTGACACACAGATGAATCCCGCTAACATGAGGAAGGTGTGAGTGAGAACGGTGTGTGTTTCAGGGCCACTGCAACGACGCGCTGGTGTTCCAGACCCAGCCGTACCCGCTGATCCGGTACGATCCCGAACAACCACACACACATCACGGAGAACACACAACTAATGCGCTTTATTCCCACAGGCTATGCCAGGACTTCATCGCAAACCATTCCAGTGTGTTTCAGTCCCAGATCCTGTGTTTACCACCCAAGCTGAGGCGCGCTGTGGAGAACCGGACCAGCAGAACATCACAGAACCTATTCAGAACCGCCCAGTGATTCGCTTTATAAGAAGCTACTGCGTAACACTTTATTTTACAGTGTCCTTGATACATAAGTTACATGTACTTACAGATGACATCACAGTTTCCTCCAGAGCGGCTATATATATAAATTAACTTAAATTAATAACTTTTTTACAACAAAAATTACCCATCACTGAACTTACTTAAGCTGGACTGTGACGCTATTCTCTTCTATAAACAAACTGTGTGTCATTATTGTCCTGTTATCTCAGTAAAGCTGCTCTGAAACTCTGTGTTGTAAAGCGCTGTATAAATAAAGGAGACTTGAATGAGTAATAACAGTAATCTATGCATAATTACATGCAACTAACCCTCAACGAATCCTAATCCCTGACCCTATAGTAAGTACATATAGTTGCTTAATTTTACTCAGTACTTAAATATATAATTACACTGTAACAATGACACCTTAAAATAAAGTGCAACCAGCTTCTGTACATAAGAAAAAAGGTTTACATAAGCTTTGTTTCCAGTCCACAATTAATATTGATACTGTGTAATTAATAGTGTGTGTGTGTGTGTGTTTGGAATGATTTGCTTTATAATAAGCTACTGTACGTCACGTTTGTTTTCTAAATAAATATTGATAAAAGGTCTACATTCAGGATTGTTAAACTATATTTATTTTCCCGTTTTGTGTTTCTTTCTGGGAACCGTTAATTAAACATCGAATGACTCACTTTCTACTGGTCTGGTTAATAATGTGTCTATTGAAAGAGAAAACCATTCAAAATAGTGCACACAGTTAAATGAGTACAATTACTACAAATAAGAAGATAAATATTGAACTGAAGAGACCGGCGCGTTCACGCAAAGAGCGCCTCGACTGCGGACGCGCGCCCTGTTGTGTAGCAGGTTTCCATGGTTACCGAGTCCTCCATTCATCACTACCGAGTTTTTCCGGTCGCTGTAGTTTGGAAAGACCCACAAGAGATTAATACAGCTGGTCAGTAACTTGAAGTTAGCAATCTATAATGGATATGGGCAGCAAACTCGAAGAACTGAATTTGACACGCGATGAAATGAATAGATTCGGTAAAGCGCTAAAAGACGAGAAGTTCCGCGAGTTACTGCAGGAATACGCGGCTGAGATCTCGGACCCGGAGAACCGGAGGAGATATGAGGAGGAGATCACTCAGATGGAGGAGGACAGGGGCAATAACGTGCAGTTTATTCACCCCGAGGCGAATCACGTGCTCAAAACACGCAGCGCGCGCGGGAAATGCTTCATCAACATCTGCTCTAATCCGCGCATCGGTGAACCGTCGTGTGAAGCAGCTCGAGACCGAGGCGGGGAACCGGGTCAGAACTGGCGCTTACCGTTCAGTCTGACACCGGGCCGAGCCGACCGAGACGCCGCGGGGAACGGCTGTGAGGTTTACGATGTCGTTTTCCATCCAGACGCGCTTCACATGGCGGCAAAAAACGCGAGGTTCATGAAACTCATCCACAGGACCGCCATCGGAGGGATCGAAGACTCGTTCCACATCAAGATAGACAGAGAGCAAGTCAAGCAGCTGAAGATGAAGTATAAAGGTGTTGCACATCCAGCTGTGATCCGCAGGCCGATCCCCGGACACCACCAGAAGAACCGGAGCTCCGGTGAGGACATGCTGTCGTTTCCATATCCAGATGAGAATCAAACAGGACCAGAACCAGAACCCGAAGCGAGTCAAAGTCCTCCTAATCCTGATGACCTCAGATCCAAACAGCCCATCAAACCACATTACACCGTAAAATACCGATCAGTCGTGGATTTGCAGGATTACAGGTGCTCCCGAGACTCGGGGCCCGGGGCCCGACCCAGAGAGATCGTGGTCATCATCGATGTGCCGCTGCTGGGATCAGCACTGGACGCTGAGGTGTGTGTGACGGAGCGACGCCTCGTCCTGGAGGCTCCAGAACCAGCGTACCGACTGGACCTTCCGCTCGCCTATCCGGTGGATGAAGAGAAAGGAGATGCAAAATTCAACAGAACTAAGAAACAGTTGACAATCACTCTTCCCGTTCGGCCAGCGAAACCCCCGGAGTTACAGATGAGCTGCGATGAGGCGAAGAGTGACGTCAACGAGGAAGCAGATCAGAACACAAAAGAGGACGGTCTTGATCTGGATCACACAGAAGGTCTTGATCCGGATCACACAAGAGGAGGTCCTGATCCGGATCACACAGAAGGAGGTCCTGATCCGGATCACACAGAAGGTCTTGATCTGGATCACACAGAAGGTCTTGATCCGGATCACACAGGAGGAGGTCCTGATCCGGATCACACAGAAGGTCTTGATCCGGATCACACAGGAGGAGGTGTTGATCCAGATCACACAGGAGGAGGTGTTGATCCAGATCACACAGAAGGTCTTGATCTGGATCAAACAGAAGGTCTTGATCCTGATCACACAGAAGGAGGTCTTGATCCGGATCACACAGGAGGAGGTCTTGATCCGGATCACACAGGAGGAGGTGTTGATCCAGATCACACAGAAGGTCTTGATCCGGATCACACAGGAGGAGGTCTTGATCCGGATCACACAGAATCAGAGCGGAGTCAGCTGACGTGTGATACGACATTTGAGCCTCAATTCACAGATTTAACGACAGATCGACAGACACACGAGATGAGCAACAATCTAATCACCAACCCAACAGAGAACCGGACAGAACCGGATCGGTCTGTAGAAGATGAAACCAACACCAATCGAGCAGTCGACTCTTCATCTGATACAGTACGTGCCCAACTTATAATACTCTCATATATAATATTAATGTATCAAATTCATTGGATTTCCAGTGTGACTGATTTTTGCTCATGATATTACAGTAGATTTTAGTGATGTTTCTCATGATATTACAGTATTACAGTAGATTTTAAGTCAAGTCAAGTCAATATATTTATATAGCGCTTTTCACAATACAGATTGTATCAAAGCTGCTTCACAGTATCAATCAAAACAACCTAACAGTGCTTGTTTATTACTGGAAAAAGACATCCAAGTTTGGTAGAGCTGATCAGTGGTATGATGGGTCATTTAATTTGAAAATCCCCAACTGAGCAAGCCAAAGGCAACAGTGGCAAGGAACCGAAAAACTCCATCAAGTGACCCGATGGTGTCCTAAAACTCCATCAAGTGACCCGATGGTGTCCTAAAACTCCATCAAGTGACCCGATGGTGTCCTAAAACTCCATCAAGTGACCCGATGGTGTCCTAAAACTCCATCAGATGACCCAATGGAGAAAAAAACCTTGGGAGAACCCAGGCTCAGTCGGGGCCAGTTCTCCTCTGGCGTTTATGAAGTAGAGGCCGAATTTACAGTAACTGTAAGATAAAAAATGTATATGAATGCCTGGCTAAATAGATGCGTCTTTAGTCTAGTTTTAAACTGGGAGAACGAGTCTGAGCAACGAACAATATCAGGAAGGCTATTCCAGAGCTTCGGAGCTAAATGTGAAAATGCTCTCCCTCCTTTGGTGGATCTGGATATCCTAGGAATGACTAGAAGCCTTGAATTTAGTGATCTTAAAGAGCGCGATGGATTATAGGGCGATAGAAGATCCGTTAAATAGACTGGAGCTAAACCATTCAGAGCTTTATAAGTCAAAAGCAAGACCTTGTAATCAATACGGAACTTTATAGGTAACCAATAAAGTGACGATAAAATCGGTGTTATATGATCATATTTTCTTGATCTAGTAAGAACTCTAGCGGCTGCATTTTGCACTAACTGTAGCTTGTTTATTGAGGATGCAGGACAACCAGCTAATAAAGCATTACAGTAATCTAGTCTCGAGGTCATGAATGCATGAACTAACTTTTCTGCATCAGAAACTGATAGCATGTTACGTAATTTAGCAATGTTTCTAAGATGGAAAAAGGCAGTTCTTGTAACATATGAAATATGCTTTTCAAAAGACAGGTTGCAGTCTAATGTAACACCCAGGTCTTTTACTGTAGCGGATAAAGTAACAGGGCATCCTAATATGTTAAAGTCGTGCTGTGAAAGGTTTAGTGGACGGTTTTTAGAACCGATAAGTATTACCTCTGTCTTGTCTGGATTTAATAAAAGAAAATTACGCGTCATCCAATCTTTTATATCTTTAACACAATCTGTCAATTTGGATAATTTAGCGTATTCATCTGGCCGTGATGAAATATATATTTGAGTGTCATCGGCATAACAATGGAAGCTAATTCCATGTTTCCTTAGAATATTACCAAGTGGCAGCATATATATTGAGAATAATAAAGGGCCTAACACAGATCCCTGCGGCACTCCATAGTTTGCCGAAGTTATGATCGATTTTTCTCCATTTAAGTAGACGAAATGGTAGCGGTCAGATAAGTATGACCTGAACCAGCTTAATGCCTGTCCTTGAACACCAGTGTAACACCAGTGTAATCTAAGAGTATTGTGTGATCTATAGTGTCGAACGCAGCGCTAAGATCAAGTAAAACTAGTACTGAGATACAGCCTTGGTCCGAAGCTAAAAGTAAATCATTTGTGATTCTAACAAGTCCAGTTTCAGTGCTATGATGTGGCCTGAATCCAGACTGAAACTTTTCATAGATGTCGTTTTCTTGCAAGAAAGAGCCGAGTTGAACGGACACAACTTTTTCTAATATTTTTGACATGAATGGAAGATTTGAGATGGGTCTGTAATTTGCAAGGTTATTTGGATCTAATTGCGGTTTCTTAATAAGAGGTTTTATAACTGCCAGCTTGAATGTTCTTGGAACATGACCTAAAGATAAAGACGAGTTAATAATATTGAGAAGAGGCTCTTCCACTACAGGTAACACTTCTTTCAGTAGTTTAGTGGGTATTGGATCCAATAAACATGTTGTTGTTTTAGATGAAGTGATAAGTTTATTTAACTCTTTTTGTTCTATGGTTGTAAAGCATTGTAATTGTTCTTGCGGGGTGATAATTGCGACTTAATTATAAGGCGCGAGCAAAGATTGAGCGTTTACGATTGTGGTTCTGATGCTTTCAATTTTCTCGGTGAAGAAGTTAATGAAATCATTACTACTAAACTGTAACGAGGAATTTTGTTCAGACGACGTCTGTTTATTTGTTAGTCTAGCCACGGTATTAAATAAAAACCTTGGATTATTTCGGTTGTTTTCTATTAGTTTGCTGAGATGCTCAGCCCTGGCTGCTTTAAGGGCCTTTTTATAACGTGACATAGGCATACTGTCTTTCCACGCGATTCTAAAGACCTCTAAATTAGTTTTTTTCCATTTACGCTCTAAAGCGTCTGCTAAATGACTAAATGTAAATTACGGGTTTCTCTCTTTAAAACATACGTAGTAGTATTATTGTACCATGGTGCTATACTTTTTTTCTCTGACCTTTTTTAATCTAATGGGTGCGACAATATCCAATGTTCTAGAGAGAATGGAGCTCATAGTGCTAGTTAATTCACACTATGAGATTTTAGTGATGTTGCTCATGATATTACAGTATATTAGTGATGTTGCTCATGATATTACAGTATATTAGTGATGTTGCTCATGATATTACAGTATATTAGTGATGTTGCTCATGATATTACAGTATATTAGTGATGTTGCTCATGATATTACAGTATATTAGTGATGTTTCTCATGATATTACAGTATATTAGTGATGTTGCTCATGATATTACAGTATATTAGTGATGTTGCTCATGATATTAGGTATGTCGCTGCAGGGGTTCGTCAGGGAATCTCACCGTCTCCACGGTAGAGATGAAGAGGCAGAAAACACGTCACTTCAGACCGATGACAACACACTGATCCATCAGCAAACCAGCAGCTCCGTGACGCAGCGGGAGGATCCCAACTCTACTCGGGAGGATCCCAGCTCTACTCGGGAAGCTGAAGGTCCAGAGTCGAAGCATTCTTCAGGAGACTGCGGGAGCGACGGGAATGCTGGGATACGGTCGGAGGACCCAGTGGTGAGAGAGACCAGTCACATGACCTCGGCCGCCTTGCGTTTCCAGAACACTCTGTGCTTTGATTTGGACTAAACGTCAAATTTATATTCTTGGAAAGTCATTTAATTAGTTACAATAAACTGTGAATAAAGTTTAGTGTTTAAATCTGGAGTAAAAAAAAATATTTTTTTGTAAATCACCAAAAATGCTCAAACTTAAAACAGAGGTTGACCTTGAGATTGGAAAAAGAATAGAAATAAAACTTGAAATAAAAGAAAATTGCACAAATATGAAGAAATATGGTGTGAAATCATTTATCATGTTTCTTTGTTATACTACATTTTATTAGTTTCACAAAGCATTTGTTGTGTTGCAGGAATTCACAGTCTTTTCCACAAAAGATAAAAGAGAATAAACAGAAACACAAGCGGGGTCATCTGAGGTCGCGCTGCACGCAGCCGTCCATGAACTCGCAGTAACACACGAGCGAGCAGAAGTGTTTCTGCACCGGCGCCTCGGTGCCGCCCATGTTGTCCACCAGAACCACCGTGTGCGACACCAGGTGCAGGTTCATGCCCACCGCCGTCTGGATGAAGGAGTTCACACACGCGCGCCCGCAGTCACACACCTTACAGAAGTCCAGCTCGTCACACAGCTGGAAGGGGACGAGGTGAGGCCCGTGCGGGATCCTGAACACAAGAACAAGCACACGTTAGCGGGATCCTAAACACAAGAACACAGGCACACGTTAGCGGGATCCTGAACACAAGAACACAGGCACACGTTAGCGGGATCCTGAACACAAGAACACAAGCACACGTTAGCGGGATCCTGAACACAAGAACAAGCACACGTTAGCGGGATCCTGAACACAAGAACAAGCACACGTTAGCGAAATCCTGAACACAAGAACACAGGCACACGTTAGCGGGATCCTGAACACAAGAACACGTTAGCGGGATCCGGAACACAAGAACACGTTAGCGGGATCCTGAACACAAGAACAAGCACACGTTAGCGGGATCCGGAACACAAGCACACGTTAGCGGGATCCTGAACACAAGAACAAGCACACGTTAGCGGGATCCTGAACACAAGAACACAAGCACACGTTAGCGGGATCCTGAACACAAGCACACGTTAGCGGGATCCTGAACACAAGAACAAGCACACGTTAGCGGGATCCTGAACACAAGAACAAGCACACGTTAGCGGGATCCTGAACACAAGAACAAGCACACGTTAGCGAAATCCTGAACACAAGAACACAGGCACACGTTAGCGGGATCCTGAACACAAGAACACGTTAGCGGGATCCGGAACACAAGCACACGTTAGCGGGATCCTGAACACAAGAACAAGCACACGTTAGCGGGATCCTGAACACAAGAACACAAGCACACGTTAGCGGGATCCTGAACACAAGAACAAGCACACGTTAGCGGGATCCTGAACACAAGAACACAAGCACACGTTAAGCGGGATCCTGAACACAAGAACAAGCACACGTTAGCGGGATCCTGAACACAAGAACACAAGCACACGTTAGCGGGATCCTGAACACAAGCACACGTTAGCGGGATCCTGAACACAAGAACACAGGCACACGTTAGCGGGATCCTGAACACAAGAACACAAGCACACGTTAGCGGGATCCTGAACACAAGAACACAGGCACACGTTAGCGGGATCCTGAACACAAGAACACGTTAGCGGGATCCGGAACACAAGCACACGTTAGCGGGATCCTGAACACAAGAACAAGCACACGTTAGCGGGATCCTGAACACAAGAACACAAGCACACGTTAGCGGGATCCTGAACACAAGAACAAGCACACGTTAGCGGGATCCTGAACACAAGAACACAAGCACACGTTAAGCGGGATCCTGAACACAAGAACAAGCACACGTTAGCGGGATCCTGAACACAAGAACACAAGCACACGTTAGCGGGATCCTGAACACAAGAACACAAGCACACGTTAGCGGGATCCTGAACACAAGAACACAAGCACACGTTAGCGGGATCCTGAACACAAGAACACAAGCACACGTTAGCGGGATCCTGAACACAAGCACACAGGCACACGTTAGCGGGATCCTGAACACAAGAACAAGCACACGTTAGCGGGATCCTGAACACAAGAACAAGCACACGTTAGCGGGATCCTGAACACAAGAACAAGCACACGTTAGCGGGATCCTGAACACAAGAACAAGCACACGTTAGCGGGATCCTGAACACAAGAACAAGCACACGTTAGCGGGATCCTGAACACAAGAACACAAGCACACGTTAGCGGGATCCTGAACACAAGAACACAAGCACACGTTAGCGGGATCCTGAACACAAGAACACAAGCACACGTTAGCGGGATCCTGAACACAAGAACACAAGCACACGTTAGCGGGATCCTGAACACAAGCACACAGGCACACGTTAGCGGGATCCTGAACACAAGAACAAGCACACGTTAGCGGGATCCTGAACACAAGAACAAGCACACGTTAGCGGGATCCTGAACACAAGAACAAGCACACGTTAGCGGGATCCTGAACACAAGAACAAGCACACGTTAGCGGGATCCTGAACACAAGAACAAGCACACGTTAGCGGGATCCTGAACACAAGAACAAGCACACGTTAGCGGGATCCTGAACACAAGAACAAGCACACGTTAGCGGGATCCTGAACACAAGAACAAGCACACGTTAGCTGCAGGGTTTCCGTTGTCCGGTAATTACCGGACATTGGCCGGGAAAAAAATTAAATGTCCGACAAAATTAAATCTCTCCGGTCAAATTGTCCGATTAAAATTGCGTAATAATCCCGCCCCCCTAACACAATATGAATTTGAGAATAAGCCTAAAATGTATAAAGAAAAAATACAGCCGACCTTTGGCTATGTTATAAAGGAACAGGCTCTACCGTTTGAAAGTTATTAAACAACATCGCATGCTGCATTTCAAATAAAGCGCACGCCTGGAACGGCTGTAATATAGACTAGGGCTGGGCGATATGGGCAAAAAAATGTATCACCATAATTTTTTTATATCAGTCGATATCGATAATTATCACGATAAATGTCAAATCTTTATTTCTTTCAAGTTTAATGGCAGATTTTTGCTCCTAAGTGAAAGTTGTAGAAACCAGTGCGTTAATTGTGGTTTTAAACTACTCTTTATTGTCAGAACATATCATGACAAACACTTGCCAAACATATTTCTTAGTTTCTGCATGTGCTAATGGGGGATATTGTTTCAAGTCTTAAAACAGGTTTGTGTTGCCTGACTTTGATGGCACGTATCTTCAGCACAGTTTGCAGTGCAGGCTGCAATATTAATATTACGTTTTATCTCGAAACACATATTTGACAGTGAGTTGACAGTAAATCTGCATCCTAACTCAAGCTACTACTATGTTAAATGTATGTTCATTAACAAAAACAGTAACATCTGTTAAAAAAAATGTAACAACCACATTTTTATTTGGTAAAATGTAATATTCTGACTGTTTGAGTTTTATTAAAATTAACCATTGGTTATCCAGTATCATGCATTTAGATCATGATAACCCCAGATAAAACCAGGCATAGGCTATAGCACCTCACTATCATGGCAAAATGTAACTTTATGGTTTATGGTATTTGTATGTAAAACAGTAGCCTAAATACATTATTAAATACTGTAATTATATTCCATTAGTCATTTAATACATTGTCTACATTAATAATATAATACAATTCAACATCCCACATTCCATGGTGCAGTTAATATTACTAGGCTAACGTTACAGTAAATCCATGGTAAATGGATTCAGTATCAATTCAGATAGACTATCGTTGCGCACAGTGTTTCTCCTGTTCGTCAGCGCTGTTTCATCTGCCTTTAAACTGGTTTAAATCACCGAGTCATTTGTGTTCTTCGCTGAACTCAAGCGCTTCTCACTGGATCTCGTGAGCGAGACGATCAGAGTAAACGCGTCTGCTCAGACTGCTCTAGTGAGCTCGCGCTGCCGTTTGGACTTTGAGCCGAGCGGATAAACGGTCCGTGTGGCGCGCGGTTCAAATGAGTTTCGTTCCGCTTTTGGCGCATAAACATTATCGAACATTTATCGAACTCTTGATATCGTTTTATCGAGAAAAATTATATCGCGATAATTATCGTTATCGTTTTATCGCCCAGCCCTAATATAGACCTAAACAACGACCGATTGAGTGAGACGTTTCAGATATGGCCAGGCCCAGGCAGCCTTAAAGGAACACTCCACCGCTTTGTTTTTTTAAATTGGGGCTATTCACGGTCTCCCCTAGAGTTAGATAGGTGGGCAAATGCATTTTTGGAAGCACAGGCGAAGCACTGCTACTTGGGCGCAGAGATATCACGCAACACCTGAAATAAAGCTTGCCACAAATAACCGGCGAAAGTAATGATTATGCATGAAACATTTGAATTATTGATAAAGTTGATAAATTGATAAAGTTGACGATGCAGACTCGCCATCTTCGCAGTAGTGAACGCGCCTATAGAGAGAAGTGTGCATGCGCCGGCGCCTCCGTGTCCTGATTAGCCTATATTGTCCACTATATTTATATTTATAAACTTTATCAATAATATCAATGGACCTGGCCATATTTGAAACGTCTCACTCAATCGTTCGTTGTTTAGGTCTATATTACAGCCGTTCCAGGCGTGCGCTTTATTTGAAATGCAGCATGCGATGTTGTTTAATAACTTTCAAACGGTAGAGCCTGTTCCTTTATAACATAGCCAAAGGTCGGTGTATTTTTGCTTTATACATTTTAGGCTTATTCTCAAATTCATATTGTGTGAGGGGGGCGGGATTATTAAGCAGGACAATTTGACTGGAGAGATTTAATTTTGTCGGACATTTCATTTTTTTCCCGGCCAATGTCCGGTATTTACCGGACAACGGAAACCCTGAGGCACACGTTAGCGGGATCCTGAACACAGCCACACAAGAATACTCCGCTCAGATGCTCTGCTGTGCAGCCTATACATGCGTGTGGCGAGGCGTGCGATTTTCAAATAATAATCGAATAATTCCCAGCAATTATCAAATATTATTTTTGCTTGAAATGCCCATCCCTAACATTAGCATGAACGCGTGACGTCAGCAAACCTACGTTAGCTCACCTGAGGTCGACCACGGCGCGCGCCGTCAGCTCTTGCAGCGTCAGCGGGAACGTCAGACGGATCGTGTGCTCCAGAGCATTGGCTTGAGTAAACGGGTTCCCGAACAGGTCCAGGTTCTCCAGGCACAGCTTCCTGAAGCCCGCAGGAAGTACCGAGAGCTGGTTCTGAGCCGCGGAGAGGAAGCGTAGCTTGGAGAGCCGGCCGATGTGGAAAGGGAGCCGCTGGAGCTGGTTAGCATCCAGGCGCAGATTCACCAGGTGCCGTAGCTGGCAGAAGCGCGCGGGCAGAACCGTCAGCTGGTTCTGGCTCAGGTCCAGATGCTGCAGTGAGGTCTGGAGAGTGGACACACACAGGGCGTCAGGGAAGCTCTGCAGGCGGTTGTTGTGCAGGATGAGTTCCGCGAGGCAGCGCAGGTCCCCGATGGTGGCCGGCAGCTTACGGATGTGGTTGTTGCTAAGGTCGAGCCGGCGCAGCGACCGCAGCGCTAGCATCCGCATGTCCACGCGGGTCAGCCGGCAGTACGACACCTGCAGCTGCTCCAGGGAGAAGGGGAAGCTGGACGCTAGCGGGTAGTCCTTCTTAGACAGAATGCTGAGCTTCTTCTTGGGCTTCTCCACGTCGCGTGCGCGGACCGGGCCGAGGGAGGATAGCGGGAGCGAGTCCGTGTCACTTCCTCTGTGAGCCAGTCGCGCGGCGGACAGGAAGCTCTTCAAGCTGCTGGTGTCGGCCTGAAAAAAAAACACACACACATCAAGCGTTGTAGAAGCAGCTTTTTATTAGCATCAGGATTCTATTAATGCAAATGCAGGTCTGCAGGAAGTAGAACATTCCCTCGGCTTCTGTGAACCAGGTCAGATTACTGAGGATCACAGTCAGAGTATAAACTCAAAACTGATGCAATATGACTGATAGAAGTATAAAAAGAATCTCTGCTACATCAACAAAACAGAGGATTTATCAATCCAGTGCATTATTCTCACAGAACACTTAAAATGGAAACTCCCTTATTTTATATCAGAGTAGCTGATTCAATAACAGTCAGAGAAAACATTTATATTCACAAAAAACTTGATCAAAATCGTTTACATTTTGATCAGATTAAAATCCTTATATGAGTCAACAACTCATTTATCATCAGATTATCAGTTTGCTGGTTTCAAGAATAAAAAAAACAGTAATAACTGCACTTTGGATTGACTGTGTGATGATATTTATCAACATTGATTTAAAACACACTGGTGTCATTACAAACATGACGGCTCAAGTCTTTCTCCAGTAGAACTGAAAGCACATCTTTACTTTACTCAGACAGATGTCGATCGCAGGCTCCTTCAGTCGAACCGTGGCTTTGCCCTCTTCCACAAACCAGGTGAAGAACTTCTCAATGTTCTCCTTCAGCTGCAGAGAAAACACACACAGATTCAAGACCTGGAGGAGAACAGATCGGGCCATGAGGAAGACGAGGAAGGCTTGCCTTGTATTTGGACCCGCTTCTGTCTTTGGCAGTGCAGATCAGCAGAAACAGGCTGTGGTTCTGGGAGCTTCTGTCCTGCTTCCCGATGGATAAAACAGCCCGGCTGGGTTTGCCTTTATTCTTCAGACCGAATGTTGGTAACATCCGATTAACAACCTCCACATCACACTGAAGCTTCATCCTTCAGCAGTCTCTGTGTGTGTGTGTGTGTGTGTGTGTGATAGAGAGAGAGAGTGTGTCTGTCTGTGTGTGAAACCAGGACAAACACAACACAACAACAGAGGAGACAGGGTTAGTTAGGCTCTGTGCTAGTTAGGTTCTGTGCTAGTTAGGGTCAGTTAAGTTAGTCACGTAACGTTATCGGTTATATGTTCTGCAAGTATTTCGCTTTAAAAAGCATATTTCTCCATTTAATATCAACAATACTGTGTTTGAATACTGTGTCGATTAGTAGCTGGTTACGAACACTAACTGGTTGGTATAGATTAGTATACACGTGTTTAGTAAATAAGCTCAGAGCCTCAGACTGAAATACACCGAGAAATAAACAAACCTGAAGTTCTGAGGCGCTCGCGCTTCTTCCGTTCAAAATCGGCTAATTAGCAAACCGGTAGATCCATAGCACAATTTCAGCCAAAACTCAGACCTATTGAGTAAAATACCTAATCTTGGAGCACAAGATCGTGTTTAAAACAGCAGACGGAAAAGATGTTTCATGTTTAATCTGTTGCGTAACGCGCGCTTCCAAGCGTCGCACATGCGCAGTGAACGCTGACTGACCTCACTAATATGGCGGCATCATTTTACCAGAAGATATTTCCGGTGAGGCCTTTCTGAATTAAAAACAGTTTTAATTCAAACGAGCAGCGCTACTCATGACAACAAGCTACTCTCCATGACTCTCCACTCGTTCATCACACTGAAGTGACAGCATTAGTAGTTCCCGTTCGTGTGAGTAGTTTTCTGTCATTCGACTAGCGGTGAGCGCGCATCAGCTGCTCAATCAAAACAACACGACAGTGGGGATAATTCACTCGATTTGATCAATAATACAACTGATTATTGTCAAATAAACGGATTGTTTATTCTGTGGTCACACTGACAGGATATATGAAGCTCTATAGGGATTTTATCCATATTATAAAAATTGTAATTACAGGATTGTAATACCAGTGTGTGTTTAACTGTAACTTTACTTGTGAGGGCCAGATTACCTCACTTATACAGCGAATAGTGAGGATATTTTACTGGTCTGTTTCTGTAATATCTTGGTTTAAGAGCTGGGTAAGTTATAACCTGATATAAAACAATGGAAATCTATGATATACGAGTTAGTGTGTGTGTGTGTGTGTGTGTGTGAGAGAGAGAGAGAGAGAGAGTGTGTGTGTGTGTGCTTTTGTGTGTATGTGAGTGTTTGTGAGAGAGTGTGTTTTTATGTGTATGGTGAGTGAGTGTGTGCGAGAGAGAGAGAGAGAGAGAGAGAGAGAGAGAGAGAGAGTGTGTGTGTGTGTGTGTAAAAGCAGCCTGCAGATGAACAGTGAGTAGATGCTTTATTGAAATGTGTCCCACTCTAGTGACGGTCTGACATGGAAGAAGATCTTGTCCAGAACATGGAGGATGAGGATGAGGATGAGTTTGAGTGGGACGCAGGAGGCGAGGAGGACGAGGAGGACGAAGGCTTCTGGCTGCAGGAGGAGGAGGTGTGTGTGTCCAGAGCGAGTCCAGCGGAGCGCAGCGGACACATCGCGGTCACCGACGGCTCCTGCATGTTCGTCTGGGGAGGATATAAGGTATAACACCAGACGCTATACTGTTTATTACACGGCTCTGGGGAATACTTGATGCTGATTGGCCAATCACACATCCAGCGGTATATTATTCCCAGATAACAACCGCTGAAAACAGAAACACAGGCTCATCCACAGAAGCTCTGCGTTTAATGAAAGTAAAATATTTCAACTCAATATTTCGTGTCTAATTATTTATTTATGTGGCAAGTATCCATGGTGTATTCAGGTGTAGGTGTGTGTGTGTGTGTGTGTTATCTCAGAATAAACCCCCTTAATGTGTAGGCGTGTGTGTGTGTGTGTGTGTGTGTGTGTGTGTGTGTTATCTCAGAATAAACCCCCTTCAGGTGTAGGTGTGTGTGTGTGTGTGTATGTGTGTGTGTGTGTGTTATCTCAGAATAAACCCCCTTCAGGTGTAGGCGTGTGTGTGTGTGTGTGTGTTATCTCAGAATAAACCCCGTTCAGGTGTGTGTGTGTTATCTCAGAATAAACCCCCTTCAGGTGTGTGTGTGTGTTATCTCAGAATAAACCCGACAGGGGGATCAGGTCTTCATCAGCTTGAAGGAGGTTTATTCTGAGATAACACACACACACACACACACCTGCAGGGGGTTTATTCTGAGATAACACAAACAAACACACACACACACCTGAAGGGGGTTTATTCTGAGATAACACACACACACACAAACACACCTGAAGGGGGTTTATTCTGAGATAACACACACATCTGAAGGGGGTTTATTCTGAGATAACACACACACACCTGAAGGGGGTTTATTCTGAGATAACACACACACACACACACACACACACCAGAAGGGGGTTTACTCTGAGATAACAACCGGCTGGATGTACATTATCCCTTACGTGAAGAGTCATCTCACACTAACTCTGTAACCCTAACCCTATACTGTCAGAATGCAGATGCTGAAGCGACTGAATTCACTGACTTGTACTTGCCGAAGAACGAAATCTGGATCTACAACATGGAGACAGGAAGATGGTGAGTTCCCTGAGTAGGGCCCTATGAAATCCGTTTTATTTTTTCCCAAATTCCGTTTTTTCCGTTTTCATTTTTGGGAATTAATTTTTTTTTATCCTTTACTGTTATTTTAGTCATAAAAAGAGTGTGCTTTTAAAGTTAATGGTTAAAATGAATACAAATAAAATAGGAATGACCTTAAATTACAGACATTTACTGAGTAGCCTTTTCAGGACAAATACTGCATGATCCAACATGACACTGCACTCTTCAAGTAACAACAAAATATGGTTATGAGCTTTAAACTGTCCAGTAAAATAAATTATATTAGTTTAAAGTTAAGGTTAGCTAGTTTGTAGCTAGTTCCACCACAAGGCTGCTAAAGGAGGTTGGAATCAGAGGACAGGCTCAGCGGAAGGCCATCAAAGACCTTGCAATTGCTGCCGAAAGAAGCAGTCACTGGCTGTGGCTGAAGCGGAAGGAGACGGTATGGGCTGCCAAGTGACCTCATGGAGCCTCCGGTGCGACACACACCCAGGTCTGATCAACCTGTGGTGGGCCAGCCTCGGGTGAGGGTCTATTGTGATAAAAGGCCGAAACACCCAATGAGGCCGGGGTGCACAACTGAGGATGTGTCGTATTGGAGGCACCAAGCGGTCATCCCCCAATCCAACCCTACCCAAGAGGACATCTCCAACAACAGCGCTTGCTGAACATCAAGGGATTTTAACACCTAGTCCTAATAAGCATATTGAACTCTGGTTTGGAACCAGTGACTACTGTGAAAGGGCAGTTGACAACCTGGGAAAGACCTGGTGACAGCCTGAAGAGACTGCTGACAGGAGGGAACAGACCCCAACGGGGCTGGCATGGGCTAGCAACCCATGTCGGCAGGAGCCAGTCACAACACAATGACTCGGATACACCCAACCATTGCTACGAAAAATTCAAGAGGAAGATGACTCATTGGCAGATCACACGGTAACAGACCTTGGAACGGAAACGACGACGACACAGATGATCAGCAAGACAGTTGACGGAGTAACAGCACTGGCAGGACACAGACTACAAAGCTGCATCTGTGGCTGGACAAAGATCACATCGGAGAAGGGTCTCAAGATCCACCAGGGCAGAAAAAAGTGCCTAAAAGAGCTTACCAAGGGACCCCGCATTGACCACTACTTCCTCAGAGGTAGGGCGAATCAGTCGGATGAAGCCCAGTGGCAGGATACTCACCACAGTCCACAGGGTATCAGCAGCCCAGACGAAGCTCTGTCAAGCACAGCTCCACCAACGGACATGAGCCCAGACCCCAGCCAGTCACAGCCAGCGGTAGAGAGGAAAATGGATGGACGAAAGCCTCAAATTCTGTGGCCCAAATCCTGCCAGAAAAAGGAGTGGGGAACCATCGACACAGACCTTGTCCATCTTCTAGAAGGTCTGAAAGGAGGTGTCGAAAGAAAATTGGAGAAGATAGGAGAGATCATCTATAGCTATGGCGCAGAGAGATTTGGAGTAAAAAGCAAGGACCACAGTACTCCGAAGGAACCTTCAGCCCATCTTAAGTCCAGGAGGCAGCAAGAGATTCAGCGACTTGTGAAAGAGAGAAGATGCCTGAGAAGACAGTGGAAGAAGGCTACAGAAGTGGAAAGGGAAGGAATTGAGGTGTTACAGGGTGACAGCAAGCAACGCCTTGCAACGCTGCGAAGAGCAGAATGCTTGAGAAAGCAACATAAGAAGAAAGAGAGAACAAGGACTGCTTTCTATAGAGATCCCTACAAGTTCGCCAAAGACCTCTTTGTCAAAGAGAAAACCAGGACTCTTAATGTACCTGTGAGGGAACTGGAGGAGCACCTTAGAAAGACCTACTCCGACAATCAGAGGCATGTACCAGCCACCATCCCAGATGACATGCCACCAATCCAACCACCTGAGCACCAGTTGGACACAAGACCCCCAACATGGAGTGAAGTTGAGAACACAGTAAAGCGAGCAAGAGCAGCATCAGCCCCTGGGCCAAACGGTGTTCCATATAGGCTCTATAAAAACACACCAGGCGTCTTGAAGTTCCTCTGGAAGCTAATGAGAGTGACATGGGGAAAAGGCTTAATACCGAAGGCATGGCGAAGGGGAGGAGGGATCCTGATTCCCAAAGAGAAGAACTCCTCAACCATCCACCAATTCCGGCAGATCAGTTTACTGAATGTGGAAGGAAAAATTTTCTTCAGTGTTGTGGCACAAAGACTCTCAGCATTCCTGCAAAAGAACAAATATATTGACAACTCAGTGCAGAAGGCAGGGATAAGAGGTTTCTCTGACGGTGTGTGTGTGTGAGGCGCTTAAGCTGCTGCTGACAGTGTGTGTGTGTGTGAGGCGCTCGAGCTGCTGCTGATGGTGTGTGTGTGTGAGGCGCTCGAGCTGCTGCTGATGGTGTGTGTGTGTGAGGCGCTCAAGCTGCTGCTGACGGTGTGTGTGTGTGAGGCGCTCAAGCTGCTGCTGACGGTGTGTGTGTGTGTGAGGCGCTCGAGCTGCTGCTGATGGTGTGTGTGTGTGAGGCGCTCAAGCTGCTGCTGATGGTGTGTGTGTGTGAGGCGCTCAAGCTGCTGCTGATGGTGTGTGTGTGTGAGGCGCTCAAGCTGCTGCTGACGGTGTGTGTGTGTGTGAGGCGCTCAAGCTACTGCTGATGGTGTGTGTGTGTGAGGCGCTCAAGCTGCTGCTGATGGTGTGTGTGTGTGAGGCGCTCAAGCTGCTGCTGATGGTGTGTGTGTGTGAGGCGCTCAAGCTGCTGCTGATGGTGTGTGTGTGTGAGGCGCTCAAGCTGCTGCTGATGGTGTGTGTGTGTGAGGCGCTCGAGCTGCTGCTGACGGTGTGTGTGTGTGTGAGGCGCTCAAGCTGCTGCTGATGGTGTGTGTGTGTGAGGCGCTCAAGCTGCTGCTGACGGTGTGTGTGTGTGTGAGGCGCTCAAGCTGCTGCTGACGGTGTGTGTGTGTGTGAGGCGCTCGAGCTGCTGCTGATGGTGTGTGTGTGTGAGGCGCTCGAGCTGCTGCTGATGGTGTGTGTGTGTGAGGCGCTCGAGCTGCTGCTGATGGTGTGTGTGTGTGAGGCGCTCAAGCTGCTGCTGATGGTGTGTGTGTGTGAGGCGCTCAAGCTGCTGTTGATGGTGTGTATGTGTGAGGCGCTCAAGCTGCTGCTGACGGTGTGTGTGTGTGTGAGGCGCTCGAGCTGCTGCTGATGGTGTGTGTGTGTGAGGCGCTCAAGCTGCTGCTGATGGTGTGTGTGTGTGAGGCGCTCGAGCTGCTGCTGATGGTGTGTGTGTGTGAGGCGCTCAAGCTGCTGCTGACGGTGTGTGTGTGTGAGGCGCTCAAGCTGCTGCTGACGGTGTGTGTGTGTGTGAGGCGCTCAAGCTGCTGCTGATGGTGTGTGTGTGTGAGGCGCTCAAGCTGCTGCTGACGGTGTGTGTGTGTGAGGCGCTCAAGCTGCTGCTGACGGTGTGTGTGTGTGTGAGGCGCTCAAGCTGCTGCTGATGGTGTGTGTGTGTGAGGGCGCTCAAGCTGCTGCTGACGGTGTGTGTGTGTGAGGCGCTCGAGCTGCTGCTGACGGTGTGTGTGTGTGAGGCGCTCGAGCTGCTGCTGATGGTGTGTGTGTGTGAGGCGCTCAAGCTGCTGCTGACGGTGTGTGTGTGTGTGAGGCGCTCGAGCTGCTGCTGACGGTGTGTGTGTGTGAGGCGCTCAAGCTGCTGCTGACGGTGTGTGTGTGTGTGAGGCGCTCAAGCTGCTGCTGACGGTGTGTGTGTGTGAGGCGCTCAAGCTGCTGCTGACGGTGTGTGTGTGTGTGAGGCGCTCAAGCTGCTGCTGATGGTGTGTGTGTGTGAGGCGCTCGAGCTGCTGCTGACGGTGTGTGTGTGTGTGAGGCGCTCGAGCTGCTGCTGATGGTGTGTGTGTGTGAGGCGCTCAAGCTGCTGCTGATGGTGTGTGTGTGTGAGGCGCTCAAGCTGCTGCTGACGGTGTGTGTGTGTGAGGCGCTCAAGCTGCTGCTGACGGTGTGTGTGTGTGTGAGGCGCTCGAGCTGCTGCTGATGGTGTGTGTGTGTGAGGCGCTCAAGCTGCTGCTGATGGTGTGTGTGTGTGAGGCGCTCAAGCTGCTGCTGACGGTGTGTGTGTGTGAGGCGCTCAAGCTGCTGCTGACGGTGTGTGTGTGTGTGAGGCGCTCAAGCTGCTGCTGATGGTGTGTGTGTGTGAGGCGCTCAAGCTGCTGCTGACGGTGTGTGTGTGTGTGAGGCGCTCGAGCTGCTGCTGATGGTGTGTGTGTGTGAGGCGCTCAAGCTGCTGCTGATGGTGTGTGTGTGTGAGGCGCTCAAGCTGCTGCTGATGGTGTGTGTGTGTGTGTGTGTGTGTGTGTGCAGGCGTGTGAGGTGCTCAAGCTGCTGCTGATGGTGTGTGTGTGTGTGTGTGTGTGTGTGTGCAGGCGTGTGAGGTGCTCGAGCTGCTGCTGATGGTGTGTGTGTGTGTGTGTGTGTGTTAGGGCTGTCAAAATTGCTCAAAAATGACGTTCGAATATTCCCTCTAAAAAAACCACATATATTCGAACTATTCGAATATCTGGTTGGGCATTTTGTCAATGACGCGCATTACGTCAATAACAGGACAAATTAATACAAAGAGACACAACTACTTGTATAGTTAGTTTATTTAAGTTTAAACATATTTGACAACGTAATAACTTACACAAAACCAAGTAAATCAACTAATGGCCAAGACCGCAGACCTTACTCTCGCTCGCACTCACAGGCACTCTTTCTCTCTCTCTCTCTCTCTCGCCCTCACGCTCTCTGCGCATAACGGTTTAAATGAACAACAATAAACAAATGTTGAGTGGCGTGCTGATCAAGAGTTTTGTGCAAGCAATTTAAGGTCGCGACTCTTGTCCTAAACATAGCAGGCTTCATTCGGTGATTGAAACAAATATTATTAACATTAATTGAAGTTTTACAGTATATAGAACCGACATTGAACGCTCCGAGCGAGCTGTGCTGTGGTAAACTCATGGGTAAACTGCTGCTAGCAAGCCTGCTACTATGGCTATTTCGAGGGTGTCTGGCCACGCCCCCTTGGCGGGCTCTGACGTGTCTGATGTAATGCTAGCTCATTGGCGCACACGTTGGAGGCGCCCGCGCCATTGGATGTGCAGTTGCCGCTGCACAGCCAATGAGTGAGCCAGACACTCACTGTGCTAGCTGTGCTGCTGGAAAATTCGTTTTACATTTAAGCTTCAGAATTTTACCACTCGCAAAGCAGACAGCCGCGCCTCTAATATAGCGGGCGTGTTTTTCCCACAGTCTATGGTTTTTCCACATGATTCGAATATTAATTTTCACCTTCGAATTTCTGTTTTTTTTAAAACTATTCGAATATATATTCGAATTTAGAATATTCGTTGACAGCCCTAGTGTGTGTGTGTGTGCAGGCGTGTGAGGTGCTCGAGCTGCTGCTGATGGTGTGTGTGTGTGTGTGTGTGCAGGCGTGTGCAGTGCTCCGAGGGCGAGGTGCCGGACTCCATGTCGGGCGGCTGCGGCTCCAGTGTGGACGGAGTTCTGTACGTGTTCGGCGGACACCAGGCCAGAGGAAACACCAACACAGTGAGGCTTTATAACGACACGGACACTATAATGATCTCTGCGCTGATGTGTGTGTCTGAAGCTCCAGATGTTGGTGTGTGTGTGTGTCTGAAGCTCCAGATGTTGGTGTGTGTGTGTGTCTGAAGCTCCAGATGTTGGTGTGTGTGTGTGTCTGAAGCTCCAGATGTTGGTGTGTGTGTGTGTCTGAAGCTCCAGATGTTGGTGTGTGTGTGTGTCTGAAGCTCCAGATGTTGGTGTGTGTGTGTGTCTGAAGCTCCACATGTTGGTGTGTGTGTCTGAAGCTCCAGATGTTGGTGTGTGTGTGTGTGTGTCTGAAGCTCCAGATGTTGGTGTGTGTGTGTGTCTGAAGCTCCAGATGTTGGTGTGTGTGTGTGTGTCTGAAGCTCCAGATGTTGGTGTGTGTGTGTCTGAAGCTCCAGATGTTGGTGTGTGTGTGTGTGTGTGTGTGTGTGTGTGTCTGAAGCTCCACATGTTGGTGTGTGTGTGTGTGTGTCTGAAGCTCCACATGTTGGTGTGTGTGTGTGTGTGTGTGTGTGTCTGAAGCTCCAGATGTTGGTGTGTGTGTGTGTCTGAAGCTCCAGATGTTGGTGTGTGTGTCTGAAGCTCCAGATGTTGGTGTGTGTGTGTGTGTGTCTGAAGCTCCAGATGTTGGTGTGTGTGTGTGTGTGTCTGAAGCTCCAGATGTTGGTGTGTGTGTGTGTCTGAAGCTCCAGATGTTGGTGTGTTTGTGTGTCTGAAGCTCCAGATGTTGGTGTGTGTGTGTGTGTGTCTGAAGCTCCAGATGTTGGTGTGTGTGTGTGTCTGAAGCTCCAGATGTTGGTGTGTGTGTGTGTGTGTGTGTGTGTGTGTCTGAAGCTCCACATGTTGGTGTGTGTGTGTGTCTGAAGCTCCAGATGTTGGTGTGTGTGTGTGTCTGAAGCTCCAGATGTTGGTGTGTGTGTGTGTCTGAAGCTCCAGATGTTGGTGTGTGTGTGTGTCTGAAGCTCCAGATGTTGGTGTGTGTGTGTGTGTCTGAAGCTCCAGATGTTGGTGTGTGTGTGTGTCTGAAGCTCCACATGTTGGTGTGTGTGTCTGAAGCTCCAGATGTTGGTGTGTGTGTGTGTGTGTGTGTCTGAAGCTCCAGATGTTGGTGTGTGTGTGTGTCTGAAGCTCCAGATGTTGGTGTGTGTGTGTGTGTCTGAAGCTCCAGATGTTGGTGTGTGTGTGTCTGAAGCTCCAGATGTTGGTGTGTGTGTGTGTGTGTGTGTGTGTGTGTGTGTCTGAAGCTCCACATGTTGGTGTGTGTGTGTGTGTGTCTGAAGCTCCACATGTTGGTGTGTGTGTGTGTGTGTGTGTGTGTGTGTCTGAAGCTCCAGATGTTGGTGTGTGTGTGTGTCTGAAGCTCCAGATGTTGGTGTGTGTGTCTGAAGCTCCAGATGTTGGTGTGTGTGTGTGTGTGTCTGAAGCTCCAGATGTTGGTGTGTGTGTGTGTGTGTCTGAAGCTCCAGATGTTGGTGTGTGTGTGTGTCTGAAGCTCCAGATGTTGGTGTGTTTGTGTGTCTGAAGCTCCAGATGTTGGTGTGTGTGTGTGTGTGTGTCTGAAGCTCCAGATGTTGGTGTGTGTGTGTGTCTGAAGCTCCAGATGTTGGTGTGTGTGTGTGTGTGTGTGTGTGTGTGTCTGAAGCTCCACATGTTGGTGTGTGTGTGTGTGTCTGAAGCTCCAGATGTTGGTGTGTGTGTGTGTGTGTGTGTGTCTGAAGCTCCAGATGTTGGTGTGTGTGTGTGTGTCTGAAGCTCCAGATGTTGGTGTGTGTGTGTGTCTGAAGCTCCAGATGTTGGTGTGTGTGTGTGTATCTGAATCTCCAGATGTTGGTGTTTCTCTCAGGTCTACCGTCTGCCGCTGCGAACGCCTGCGCTCCGCTGGGAGAAGATGAGTCTGACGGGTCTGGCTCCGACCTGCAAAGACAAGCTGGGCTGTTGGGTCCACAGAAACAGGTGTGTGTTCATCAGGCCAGTCAGACACTAGTTGATGTCATCAGCGAGGTCACACACACACCTCCTTTGCTCTGTCTCCGCAGGCTGGTGTATTTCGGAGGCTACGGCTACACCGCACAGCCCGGTCACAGAGGAACGTTTGAGCTCGATGAGAACTCGCTGATGGTGAGTCCGTGTTCATCAGCAGACGTCATGCGTGACACAGATGAGTGAGAGTGTGTTTGTGTGAGTGAGTCAAGTCAAGTCACTAATATTGTTGAATATTAAATTTAGGTGTGCACGTTATATCGGCCGCCGATATGGTCAATTTTTTACACATCGGTATCGTTCCGATGTCAAAATAGGGCCGATGTGACCAGGCCGATAATCATTCCTGTGAATTTGACGTGTGTGTAGATGTGAGTGTGGGGGCGGGGATGTTTGTTTTTGCACGGGCGCATACATTACACGTCACATAATGTGCTGAAGCAGGTGCTTTAGGCGGCAAAAAAAAGTCAAAGTCAGTTTAACTTTGCCTTTGGTGAAGGAGCAACAATGCTGTCTGGTCGTTCTTCAAGGTGTCTGAAGAGGATCCTCGCTAGGGCTGCACGATGTGTAATTTTAGCATCGATATCGCGATGTGCGCATCCACATATGATGTCCTCCATCTGATCTGGATACGGCCCGGATCCGGCTGAGTACATCATGTGTTGTGGTCGTGTCTAGGCGCAGGTCCTCCATCTGATCTGGATACGGCCCGGATCCGGCTGACTACATCATGTGTTGTGGTCGTGTCTAGGCGCAGGTCCTCCATCTGATCTGGATACGGCCCGGATCCGGCTGACTACATCATGCGTTGTGGTCGTGTCTAGGCGCAGGTCCTCCATCTGATCTGGATACGGCCCGAATCCGGCTGACTACATCATGTGTTGTGGTCGTGTCTAGGCGCAGGTCCACCATCTGATCTGGATACGGCCCGAATCCGGCTGACTACATCATGTGTTGTGGTCGTGTCTAGGCGCAGGTCCTCCATCTGATCTGGATACGGCCCGGATCCGGCTGACTACATCATGTGTTGTGGTCGTGTCTAGGCGCAGGTCCTCCATCTGATCTGGATACGGCCCGGATCCGGCTGACTACATCATGTGTTGTGGACAGTGTTGTGCTAGTTACTAAGAAATAGTAACTAGTTACAGTTACTAGTTACTTCATTCAAAAAGTAACTCAATTACTTTGTTGATTACTTGCACCAAAAAGTAATGCGTTACTGTGAAAAGTAACTTTTTAGTTACTTTTTTAAAGAAAGTTCTTTAATGTTCCCATTAATGCCCTTTTATGCGTTATGGTCTATACAAACACAAAACTGACTTAAACAGAAAGTAATTTTTAAACACTATTTTATTTAAGTCAGACCAGCACAAACTGAATATATCACAAGGATTTCTGAAATAAATAACAAAACAAGCATGTGTAAAGCTAGTGATGTGTTTGCTTTCTCAACATTGATATGTTCATGCAGCTGACAGTAATACGTTTTTACTGCATGAATGAATATTTGAGCAATACAATTGTACCTTGATCATTCTTGTTAGTTCATAGTAGGCTAATTAACTAAGGTAATAACAGATACAATAACAATTTAAACTCAATTTCAAATGTATTAAGTAAATGTTGAAATTAAAAAACTAACAATGAATGATACTTCTACAACATTTATTAACCATATTTAATGCTAAAATTGTAATCTCATTGTAAAGTGTTACCATTTTATATGATTCAAGCTTATAGAAGATGGCCATATTTAAATATCTGCAAAGGCCAGAGCATTAAAATTACATAAATGTAGACCTATATATTACATGTATAGTCTTTCACTTTATTTGCTTAAATTTTAGAACACTTGATTAGGAAACTTGATGTCGCTGCATGAACATATCAATGTAAGCAATCACGTCAGCTTTAAAAATACAACTTCGCCGGCTAATGAATGCATAACAGTGACCAGCTGGATATAAACTAATGCAAATAGATGGTAACAATTGCGACATAAAACATCTGGGTCAGGTCTGCGTGTGTTTTGGTCACATTGCTTTAATCGCTTGAGGTAAGTTAGCCGTTACTAATGTTATTCCTCTCAGACTCGACGGCAAGCTTCTGTTCTTTCTCTGTTGATGCAGCATCTAGACAAAATATTACTTTATAATGATATGGCAATGTGTACTTTAGTGTTCTGTATTCATACCGTTTCGCTGTCTGTGTTTTAAATGCGCATCTGAAGTGCTCAGCGCTCTCCGTGCAGCTTGTAATCTCCGTGCTCGCGCTGCCTCACGTGTTAACGTAAACAACTCAGCCAGTGAGTTTATGTGTCCTCTCGCTCTGTATAATGCTAGCAGTCTCTTCAGTGATCTCGTACTGTGTAACAGCGCACACTTCTCAGCCGCTCCAGCAACTAATTAATTTAAAAAAGTAACGGACAACGCACCATATGGTAACGATAACGGAGTTACTTTATTTAAAAAGTAATGCGTTACAGTATTAGTTACTGTCAAAAGTAACTGCGTTACAGTAACGCGTTACTAGTAACGCGTTACTGCCCAACACTGGTTGTGGACGTGTCTAGGCGCAGGTCCTCCATCTGATCTGGATACGGCCCGGATCCGGCTGACTGCATCATGTGTTGTGGTCGTGTCTAGGCGCAGGTCCACCATCTGATCTGGATACGGCCCGGATCCGGCTGACTGCATCATGTGTTGTGGTCGTGTCTAGGCGCAGGTCCTCCATCTGATCTGGATACGGCCCGGATCCGGCTGACTGCATCATGTGTTGTGGTCGTGTCTAGGCGCAGGTCCTCCATCTGATCTGGATACGGCCCGGATCCGGCTGACTACATCATGTGTTGTGGACGTGTCTAGGCGCAGGTCCTCCATCTGATCTGGATACGGCCCGGATCCGGCTGACTACATCATGTGTTGTGGACGTGTCTAGGCGCAGGTCCTCCATCTGATCTGGATACGGCCCGGATCCGGCTGACTACATCATGTGTTGTGGTCGTGTCTAGGCGCAGGTCCTCCATCTGATCTGGATCCGGCCCGGATCCGGCTGAGTACATCATGTGTTGTGGTCGTGTCTAGGCGCAGGTCCTCCATCTGATCTGGATACGGCCCGGATCCGGCTGACTACATCATGTGTTGTGGACGTGTCTAGGCGCAGGTCCACCATCTGATCTGGATACGGCCCGGATCCGGCTGACTACATCATGTGTTGTGGTCGTGTCTAGGCGCAGGTCCACCATCTGATCTGGATACGGCCCGGATCCGGCTGACTACATCATGTGTTGTGGACGTGTCTAGGCGCAGGTCCTCCATCTGATCTGGATACGGCCCGGATCCGGCTGACTGCATCATGTGTTGTGGTCGTGTCTAGGCGCAGGTCCTCCATCTGATCTGGATCCGGCCCGGATCCGGCTGACTGCATCATGTGTTGTGGTCGTTTCTAGGCGCAGGTCCTCCATCTGATCTGGATACGGCCCGGATCCGGCTGACTGCATCATGTGTTGTGGTCGTGTCTAGGCGCAGGTCCTCCATCTGATCTGGATACGGCCCGGATCCGGCTGACTAAATCATGTGTTGTGGACGTGTCTAGGCGCAGGTCCTCCATCTGATCTGGATACGGCCCGGATCCGGCTGAGTACATCATGTGTTGTGGTCGTGTCTAGGCGCAGGTCCTCCATCTGATCTGGATACGGCTCGGATCCGGCTGACTACATCATGCGTTGTGGTCGTGTCTAGGCGCAGGTCCACCATCTGATCTGGATACGGCTCGGATCCGGCTGACTACATCATGTGTTGTGGTCGTGTCTAGGCGCAGGTCCACCATCTGATCTGGATACGGCCCGGATCCGGCTGACTACATCATGTGTTGTGGACGTGTCTAGGCGCAGGTCCTCCATCTGATCTGGATACGGCCCGGATCCGGCTGACTACATCATGTGTTGTGGACGTGTCTAGGCGCAAGTCCTCCATCTGATCTGGATACGGCCCGGATCCGGCTGACTGCATCATGTGTTGTGGTCGTGTCTAGGCGCAGGTCCACCATCTGATCTGGATACGGCCCGGATCCGGCTGACTGCATCATGTGTTGTGGTCGTGTCTAGGCGCAGGTCCTCCATCTGATCTGGATACGGCCCGGATCCGGCTGACTGCATCATGTGTTGTGGTCGTGTCTAGGCGCAGGTCCTCCATCTGATCTGGATACGGCCCGGATACGGCTGACTGCATCATGTGTTGTGGACGTGTCTAGGCGCAGGTCCTCCATCTGATCTGGATACGGCCCGGATCCGGCTGACTACATCATGCGTTGTGGTCGTGTCTAGGCGCAGGTCCTCCATCTGATCTGGATACGGCCCGGATCCGGCTGACTGCATCATGTGTTGTGGTCGTGTCTAGGCGCAGGTCCTCCATCTGATCTGGATACGGCCCGGATCCGGCTGACTGCATCATGTGTTGTGGACGTGTCTAGGCGCAGGTCCTCCATCTGATCTGGATACGGCCCGGATCCGGCTGAGTACATCATGTGTTGTGGTCGTGTCTAGGCGCAGGTCCTCCATCTGATCTGGATACGGCCCGGATCCGGCTGACTACATCATGTGTTGTGGACGTGTCTAGGCGCAGGTCCTCCATCTGATCTGGATACGGCCCGGATCCGGCTGACTGCATCATGTGTTGTGGTCGTGTCTAGGCGCAGGTCCTCCATCTGATCTGGATACGGCCCGGATCCGGCTGACTGCATCATGTGTTGTGGTCGTGTCTAGGCGCAGGTCCTCCATCTGATCTGGATATGGCCCGGATCCGGCTGACTACATCATGTGTTGTGGTCGTGTCTAGGCGCAGGTCCTCCATCTGATCTGGATACGGCCTGGATCCGGCTGACTGCATCATGTGTTGTGGTCGTGTCTAGGCGCAGGTTCTCCATCTGATCTGGATACGGCCCGGATCCGGCTGACTGCATCATGTGTTGTGGTCGTGTCTAGGCGCAGGTCCACCATCTGATCTGAATACGGCCCGGATCCGGCTGACTGCATCATGTGTTGTGGTCGTGTCTAGGCGCAGGTCCTCCATCTGATCTGGATACGGCCCGGATCCGGCTGACTACATCATGTGTTGTGGTCGTGTCTAGGCGCAGGTCCTCCATCTGATCTGGATACGGCCCGGATCCGGCTGACTACATCATGTGTTGTGGTCGTGTCTAGGCGCAGGTCCTCCATCTGATCTGGATACGGCCCGGATCCGGCTGACTACATCATGCGTTGTGGTCGTGTCTAGGCGCAGGTCCTCCATCTGATCTGGATATGGCCCGGATCCGGCTGACTACATCATGCGTTGTGGTCGTGTCTAGGCGCAGGTCCACCATCTGATCTGGATACGGCCCGGATCCGGCTGACTGCATCATGCGTTGTGGTCGTGTCTAGGCGCAGGTCCTCCATCTGATCTGGATACGGCCCGGATACGGCTGACTGCATCATGTGTTGTGGTCGTGTCTAGGCGCAGGTCCTCCATCTGATCTGGATACGGCCCGGATCCGGCTGACTACATCATGCGTTGTGGTCGTGTCTAGGCGCAGGTCCTCCATCTGATCTGGATACGGCCCGGATCCGGCTGACTACATCATGCGTTGTGGTCGTGTCTAGGCGCAGGTCCTCCATCTGATCTGGATACGGCCCGGATCCGGCTGACTACATCATGCGTTGTGGTCGTGTCTAGGCGCAGGTCCTCCATCTGATCTTGATTCGGCCCGGATCCGGCTGAGTACATCATGTGTTGTGGTCGTGTCTAGGCGCAGGTCCTCCATCTGATCTGGATACGGCCCGGATCCGGCTGACTACATCATGCGTTGTGGTCGTGTCTAGGCGCAGGTCCACCATCTGATCTGGATACGGCCCGGATCCGGCTGACTGCATCATGTGTTGTGGTCGTGTCTAGGCGCAGGTCCTCCATCTGATCTGGATACGGCCCGGATACGGCTGACTGCATCATGTGTTGTGGTCGTGTCTAGGCGCAGGTCCTCCATCTGATCTGGATACGGCCCGGATCCGGCTGACTACATCATGCGTTGTGGTCGTGTCTAGGCGCAGGTCCTCCATCTGATCTGGATACGGCCCGGATCCGGCTGACTACATCATGCGTTGTGGTCGTGTCTAGGCGCAGGTCCTCCATCTGATCTGGATACGGCCCGGATCCGGCTGACTACATCATGCGTTGTGGTCGTGTCTAGGCGCAGGTCCTCCATCTGATCTGGATTCGGCCCGGATCCGGCTGAGTACATCATGTGTTGTGGTCGTGTCTAGGCGCAGGTCCTCCATCTGATCTGGATACGGCCCGGATCCGGCTGACTACATCATGCGTTGTGGTCGTGTCTAGGCGCAGGTCCACCATCTGATCTGGATACGGCCCGGATCCGGCTGAGTACATCATGCGTTGTGGTCGTGTCTAGGCGCAGGTCCTCCATCTGATCTGGATACGGACCGGATCCGGCTGACTACATCATGTGTTGTGGTCGTGTCTAGGCGCAGGTCCACCATCTGATCTGGATACGGCCCGGATCCGGCTGACTACATCATGTGTTGTGGTCGTGTCTAGGCGCAGGTCCTCCATCTGATCTGGATACGGCCCGGATCCGGCTGACTACATCATGTGTTGTGGTCGTGTCTAGGCGCAGGTCCTCCATCTGATCTGGATACGGCCCGGATCCGACTGACTACATCATGTGTTGTGGTCGTGTCTAGGCGCAGGTCCTCCATCTGATCTGGATACGGCTCGGATCCGGCTGACTACATCACGTGTTGTGGTCGTGTCTAGGCGCAGGTCCTCCATCTGATCTGGATACGGCCCGGATCCGGCTGACTACATCATGTGTTGTGGTCGTGTCTAGGCGCAGGTCCTCCATCTGATCTGGATACGGCCCGGATCCGGCTGACTACATCATGTGTTGTGGTCGTGTCTAGGCGCAGGTCCTCCATCTGATGTGGATACGGCCCGGATCCGGCTGACTACATCATGCGTTGTGGTCGTGTCTAGGCGCAGGTCCTCCATCTGATCTGGATACGGCCCGGATCCGGCTGACTACATCATGCGTTGTGGTCGTGTCTAGGCGCAGGTCCTCCATCTGATCTGGATACGGCCCGGATCCGGCTGACTACATCATGTGTTGTGGTCGTGTCTAGGCGCAGGTCCTCCATCTGATCTGGATACGGCCCGGATCCGGCTGACTACATCATGTGTTGTGGTCGTGTCTAGGCGCAGGTCCTCCATCTGATCTGGATACGGCCCGGATCCGGCTGACTACATCATGTGTTGTGGTCGTGTCTAGGCGCAGGTCCTCCATCTGATCTGGATACGGCTCGGATCCGGCTGACTACATCACGTGTTGTGGTCGTGTCTAGGCGCAGGTCCTCCATCTGATCTGGATACGGCCCGGATCCGGCTGACTACATCATGTGTTGTGGTCGTGTCTAGGCGCAGGTCCTCCATCTGATGTGGATACGGCCCGAATCCGGCTGACTACATCATGTGTTGTGGTCGTGTCTAGGCGCAGGTCCTCCATCTGATCTGGATACGGCCCGGATCCGGCTGACTACATCATGTGTTGTGGTCGTGTCTAGGCGCAGGTCCTCCATCTGATCTGGATACGGCCCGGATCCGGCTGACTACATCATGTGTTGTGGTCGTGTCTAGGCGCAGGTCCTCCATCTGATGTGGATACGGCCCGGATCCGGCTGACTACATCATGTGTTGTGGTCGTGTCTAGGCCGGGTCCTCCATCTGATCTGGATACGGCCCGGATCCGGCTGACTACATCATGTGTTGTGGTCGTGTCTAGGCGCAGGTCCTCCATCTGATCTGGATACGGCCCGGATCCGGCTGACTACATCATGCGTTGTGGTCGTGTCTAGGCGCAGGTCCTCCATCTGATCTGGATACGGCCCGGATCCGGCTGACTACATCATGTGTTGTGGTCGTGTCTAGGCGCAGGTCCTCCATCTGATCTGGATACGGCCCGGATCCGGCTGACTACATCATGCGTTGTGGTGCAGGTCCACCATCACCACCAAGTCAAGAACGCATGAACTAACTGTTCCGCATTTTTCATTGAAAGCATATGACGTAATTTAGATACATTTTTTTAAGATGGAAGAATGCGATTTTACAGATGATAGAAACTTGACTTTCAAATCAAAGATTGGTATCAAAGCGCACACTCACACACACACACACACACACACACACACACACACACACAGGTTCCTAACCGATGACGAAGACTTGACAGAGCAGCCATCAAGTGTTAGACGGTATTCTAGGTTAGGACGTTTTTTGGCCAATAATTAGAAACTCTGTTTTTTTAAAAAGAATTTAGTAGTAGGAAATTACTTGTCATCCAGTTTTTTATATCAGTTATGCATTCCGTTAATTTTGTGAATTGGTAAGTTTCGTCGGGGCGTGAGGAAATATACAGCTGAGTATCATCGGCATAACAGTGAAAACTAATGCCATGTTCCCTAATGATATCTCCTAAGGGTAGCATGTACAGAGTGTGTGTGTGTGTGTGTAGCATGTACAGAGTGAACAGCAGCGGTCCTAGTACTGAGCCTTGTGGTACGCCATACTGAACTTGTGATCGATAAGACATCTCTTCATTTACTGCTACAAACTGATAACGGTCAGATAAGTATGATTTAAACCATGCTAATGCAACTCCACTAATGCCAACATAGTTTTCTAGTCTATTTAAAAGAATGTTGTGGTCGATGGTATCTAATGCAGCACTAAGATCGAGTAACACTAATAGAGAGATACAACCATGATCGGATGATAAGAGCAAATCATGTGTGACTCTAATGAGAGCGGTCTCAGTGCTATGGTACGGTCTGAATCCTGACTGAAAATCCTCGCAGATATCATTTCTTTCTAAAAAGGAACATAGTTGTGAAGATACTGCCTTTTCTAGTATCTTTGACAGAAAAGGTAGATTCGAGATTGTGTGAGTGTGCGTGAGCGTGTGCGTGTGTGTGCGTGAGCGTGTATGTGTGTGTGTGATTGTGTGTGTGACACCGACGAGACTCAGATGTGCTGTTTTTCAGGGGAACCAAACAGGACGAGGCTGGAACAATCACATACACATCCTGGATCTGGAGACGTCCTCGTGGAGTCAGCCAATCACGAAGGTGCTAAACCTGAGCTTGATCAAATGTGTTGCAGCAGGATCTGTGTGTGACGAGTTCAAACACTGTGTGTGTCCGTACAGGGGAACACTCCGACGCCACGGGCCGCTCACGCCTGCGCAACCATCGGCAACAGAGGCTTCGTCTTCGGAGGCCGTTACATGGTGTGTGTGTGTGTGTGTGTGATGGGTAGGGTTAGTGTGTGTGTGTGTGTGAGAGAGAGAGAGAGAGAGAGATGGGTAGGGTTAGTGTAAGGGGACAGAATATACAGTTTGTACACTATAAATATCATTATGCCTATAGAGAGTCCCCACAAAGATAGCTAAACAAACGTGTGTGTGAATCACTTCTACTAGTGTTCCTATGATCAGTATCATAGTTAGCATGTTTAGAGTTCTGAAGCTCAGTGTGTTGCTCCACAGGATCAGCGTCTGAACGATCTGCACTGCCTGGATCTGGACTCGTGGGAATGGAGTGAGATGTGCGTTCAGTGAGTGTAACCGCCGAGAGATCTGTGACGAGCTCACACACTAAAGCGTGTGTGTTTCAGGTGTGTTCCTCAACACGGCCCCGTCGGCCGGTCCTGGCACTCGCTCACCCCAGTGTCAGCTGACCATCTGTTCCTGTTCGGCGGATTCACCACCGACCGAGAGACACTGAGTGAGGGAATCAGTGTGTGTGTGTGTGTGTGTGTGTGTGTCTGACAGCACAGCTTCATCAGTGTGTGTGTCTGACAGCTTCATCAGTGTGTGTGTGTGTGTGTGTGTGTCTGACAGCACAGCTTCATCAGTGTGTGTGTCTGACAGCTTCATCAGTGTGTGTGTGTGTGTGTCTGACAGCACAGCTTTATCAGTGTGTGTGTGTGTGTGTGTGTCTGACAGCACAGCTTTATCAGTGTGTGTGTGTGTGTGTGTCTGACAGCACAGCTTTATCAGTGTGTGTGTGTGTGTGTGTCTGACAGCACAGCTTTATTAGTGTGTGTGTGTGTGTGTGTGTGTCTGACAGCACAGCTTCATCAGTGTGTGTGTGTGTGTGTGTGTGTGTGTGTCTGACAGCACAGCTTTATCAGTGTGTGTGTGTGTGTGTGTGTGTGTGTCTGACAGCACAGCTTCATCAGTGTGTGTGTGTGTGTGTGTGTGTCTGACAGCACAGCTTTATCAGTGTGTGTGTGTGTGTGTGTGTGTGTGTCTGACAGCACAGCTTCATCAGTGTGTGTGTGTGTGTGTGTCTGACAGCACAGCTTCATCAGTGTGTGTGTGTGTGTGTGTCTGACAGCACAGCTTTATCAGTGTGTGTGTGTGTGTGTCTGACAGCACAGCTTCATCAGTGTGTGTGTGTGTGTGTGTGTCTGACAGCACAGCTTTATCAGTGTGTGTGTGTGTGTGTGTGTCTGACAGCACAGCTTCATCAGTGTGTGTGTGTGTGTGTGTGTCTGACAGCACAGCTTTATCAGTGTGTGTGTGTGTGTGTCTGACAGCACAGCTTCATCAGTGTGTGTGTGTGTGTGTGTCTGACAGCACAGCTTCATCAGTGTGTGTGTGTGTGTGTGTGTCTGACAGCACAGCTTCATCAGTGTGTGTGTGTGTGTGTGTGTCTGACAGCTTCATCAGTGTGTGTGTGTGTGTGTGTGTGTGTGTCTGACAGCACAGCTTTATCAGTGTGTGTGTGTGTGTGTGTGTCTGACAGCTTCATCAGTGTGTGTGTGTGTGTGTGTCTGACAGCACAGCTTTATCAGTGTGTGTGTGTGTGTGTGTGTGTGTGTCTGACAGCACAGCTTTATTAGTGTGTGTGTGTGTGTGTGTGTGTCTGACAGCACAGCTTTATCAGTGTGTGTGTGTGTGTGTGTCTGACAGCACAGCTTTATCAGTGTGTGTGTGTGTGTGTGTGTGTGTGTCTGACAGCACAGCTTCATCAGTCTGTGTGTGTGTGTGTGTGTGTGTGTGTGTGTCTGACAGCACAGCTTTATCAGTGTGTGTGTGTGTGTGTGTGTGTGTCTGACAGCTTCATCAGTGTGTGTGTGTGTGTGTGTGTGTGTCTGACAGCACACCTTTATCAGTGTGTGTGTGTGTGTGTGTGTCTTGACAGCACAGCTTTATCAGTGTGTGTGTGTGTGTGTGTCTGACAGCACAGCTTCATCAGTGTGTGTGTGTGTGTGTGTGTCTGACAGCACAGCTTTATCAGTGTGTGTGTGTGTGTGTGTGTGTGTGTCTGACAGCACAGCTTCATCAGTGTGTGTGTGTGTGTGTGTGTGTGTCAGCACAGCTTTATCAGTGTGTGTGTGTGTGTGTGTGTGTGTGTGTGTGTGTGTGTCTGACAGCACAGCTTCATCAGTGTGTGTGTGTGTGTGTGTGTGTGTGTGTGTCTGACAGCACAGCTTCATCAGTGTGTGTGTGTGTGTGTCTGACAGCACAGCTTTATCAGTGTGTGTGTGTGTGTGTGTCTGACAGCACAGCTTCATCAGTGTGTGTGTGTGTGTGTGTGTGTCTGACAGCACAGCTTTATCAGTGTGTGTGTGTGTGTGTGTGTGTGTGTGTCTGACAGCACAGCTTCATCAGTGTGTGTGTGTGTGTGTGTGTCTGACAGCACAGCTTTATCAGTGTGTGTGTGTGTGTGTGTGTGTGTGTGTCTGACAGCACAGCTTCATCAGTGTGTGTGTGTGTGTGTGTGTGTGTGTGTCTGACAGCACAGCTTCATCAGTGTGTGTGTGTGTCTGACAGCACAGCTTTATCAGTGTGTGTGTGTGTGTGTCTGACAGCACAGCTTCATCAGTGTGTGTGTGTGTGTGTGTCTGACAGCACAGCTTTATCAGTGTGTGTGTGTGTGTGTGTGTGTGTGTGTGTGTGTCTGACAGCACAGCTTCATCAGTGTGTGTGTGTGTGTGTGTCTGACAGCACAGCTTTATCAGTGTGTGTGTGTGTGTGTCTGACAGCACAGCTTCATCAGTGTGTGTGTGTGTGTGTGTCTGACAGCACAGCTTCATCAGTGTGTGTGTGTGTGTGTGTGTCTGACAGCACAGCTTCATCAGTGTGTGTGTGTGTGTGTGTGTGTCTGACAGCTTCATCAGTGTGTGTGTGTGTGTGTGTGTGTGTCTGACAGCACAGCTTTATCAGTGTGTGTGTGTGTGTGTGTGTCTGACAGCTTCATCAGTGTGTGTGTGTGTGTGTGTGTGTCTGACAGCACAGCTTTATCAGTGTGTGTGTGTGTGTGTGTGTGTGTGTGTGTCTGACAGCACAGCTTTATCAGTGTGTGTGTGTGTGTGTGTGTGTCTGACAGCACAGCTTTATTAGTGTGTGTGTGTGTGTGTGTGTCTGACAGCACAGCTTTATCAGTGTGTGTGTGTGTGTGTGTCTGACAGCACAGCTTTATCAGTGTGTGTGTGTGTGTGTGTGTGTGTGTGTGTGTCTGACAGCACAGCTTCATCAGTCTGTGTGTGTGTGTGTGTGTGTGTCTGACAGCACAGCTTTATCAGTGTGTGTGTGTGTGTGTGTGTGTGTGTGTGTCTGACAGCTTCATCAGTGTGTGTGTGTGTGTCTGACAGCACACCTTTATCAGTGTGTGTGTGTGTGTGTGTGTCTTGACAGCACAGCTTTATCAGTGTGTGTGTGTGTGTGTGTGTCTGACAGCTTCATCAGTGTGTGTGTGTGTGTGTCTGACAGCACACCTTTATCAGTGTGTGTGTGTGTGTGTGTGTGTCTTGACAGCACAGCTTTATCAGTGTGTGTGTGTGTGTGTGTGTCTGACAGCACAGCTTCATCAGTCTGTGTGTGTGTGTGTGTGTCTGACAGCACAGCTTCATCAGTGTGTGTGTGTGTGTGTGTGTGTGTGTCTGACAGCACACCTTTATCAGTGTGTGTGTGTGTGTGTGTGTCTTGACAGCACAGCTTTATCAGTGTGTGTGTGTGTGTGTGTGTCTGACAGCACAGCTTCATCAGTCTGTGTGTGTGTGTGTGTGTGTGTGTGTGTGTGTGTCTGACAGCACAGCTTTATCAGTGTGTGTGTGTGTGTGTGTGTGTGTGTCTGACAGCACAGCTTCATCAGTGTGTGTGTGTGTGTGTGTGTGTGTGTGTGTCTGACAGCACAGCTTCATCAGTGTGTGTGTGTGTGTGTGTGTGTGTGTCTGACAGCACAGCTTCATCAGTGTGTGTGTGTGTGTGTGTGTCTGACAGCACAGCTTTATCAGTGTGTGTGTGTGTGTGTCTGACAGCACAGCTTCATCAGTGTGTGTGTGTGTGTGTGTGTCTGACAGCACAGCTTCATCAGTGTGTGTGTGTGTGTGTCTGACAGCACAGCTTCATCAGTGTGTGTGTGTGTGTGTGTGTGTCTGACAGCACAGCTTCATCAGTGTGTGTGTGTGTGTGTGCGTGAGACAGCACAGCTTCATCAGTGTGTGTGTGTGTGTGTGTCTGACAGCACAGCTTCATCAGTGTGTGTGTGTGTGTATGTGTGTGTGTGTGTGTGTGTGTCTGACAGCACAGCTTCATCAGTGTGTGTGTGTGTGTGTGTGCGTGAGACAGCACAGCTTCATCAGTGTGTGTGTGTGTGTGTGTGTCTGACAGCACAGCTTCATCAGTGTGTGTGTGTCTGAGCACAGCTTCATCAGTGTGTGTGTGTGTGTGTGTGTGTGTCTGACAGCACAGCTTCATCAGTGTGTGTGTGTGTGTGTGTGTGTCTGACAGCACAGCTTCATCAGTGTGTGTGTGTGTGTGTGTGTGTCTGACAGCACAGCTTTATCAGTGTGTGTGTGTGTGTGTGTGTGTCTGACAGCACAGCTTCATCAGTGTGTGTGTGTGTGTGTGTGTGTGTGTCTGACAGCACAGCTTTATCAGTGTGTGTGTGTGTGTGTGTGTCTGACAGCACAGCTTCATCAGTGTGTGTGTGTCTGACAGCACAGCTTCATCAGTGTGTGTGTGTGTGTGTGTGTGTGTGTGTGTGTGTGTGTCTGACAGGACAGCTTTATCAGTGTGTGTGTGTGTGTGTCTGACAGCACAGCTTCATCAGTGTGTGTGTGTCTGAGCACAGCTTCATCAGTGTGTGTGTGTGTGTGTGTGTGTCTGACAGCACAGCTTCATCAGTGTGTGTGTGTGTGTGTGTGTGTGTCTGACAGCACAGCTTCATCAGTGTGTGTGTGTGTGTGTGTCTGACAGCACAGCTTTATCAGTGTGTGTGTGTGTGTGTGTGTCTGACAGCACAGCTTCATCAGTGTGTGTGTGTGTGTGTGTGTGTCTGACAGCACAGCTTTATCAGTGTGTGTGTGTGTGTGTGTGTGTCTGACAGCACAGCTTCATCAGTGTGTGTGTGTCTGACAGCACAGCTTCATCAGTGTGTGTGTGTGTGTGTCTGACAGCACAGCTTTATCAGTGTGTGTGTGTGTGTGTCTTACAGCACAGCTTCATCAGTGTGTGTGTGTGTGTGTGTGTGTGTGTGTCTGACAGCACAGCTTTATCAGTGTGTGTGTGTGTGTGTGTGTGTGTCTGACAGCACAGCTTCATCAGTGTGTGTGTGTGTCTGACAGCACAGCTTCATCAGTGTGTGTGTGTGTGTGTGTGTGTGTGTGTGTCTGACAGCACAGCTTTATCAGTGTGTGTGTGTCTGACTGCACAGCTTCATCAGTGTGTGTGTGTGTGTGTGTGTGTCTGACAGCACAGCTTCATCAGTGTGTGTGTGTCTGACAGCACAGCTTTATCAGTGTGTGTGTGTGTGTCTGACAGCACAGCTTCATCAGTGTGTGTGTGTGTGTATGACAGCACAGCTTCATCAGTGTGTGTGTGTGTCTGACAGCACAGCTTCATCAGTGTGTGTGTGTGTGTGTGTGTCTGACAGCACAGCTTCATCAGTGTGTGTGTGTGTGTGTCTGACAGCACAGCTTTATCAGTGTGTGTGTGTGTGTGTGTGTGTGTGTGTGTGTGTCTGTCTGACAGCACAGCTTCATCAGTGTGTGTGTGTGTCTGACAGCACAGCTTTATCAGTGTGTGTGTGTGTGTGTGTGTGTGTGTCTGACAGCACAGCTTTATCAGTGTGTGTGTGTGTGTGTGTGTGTGTCTGACAGCACAGCTTCATCAGTGTGTGTGTGTGTGTGTGTGTGTGTGTGTGTCTGACAGCACAGCTTCATCAGTGTGTGTGTGTGTGTGTGTGTGTGTGTGTCTGACAGCACAGCTTCATCAGTGTGTGTGTGTGTGTGTGTGTGTGTCTGACAGCACAGCTTCATCAGTGTGTGTGTGTGTGTGTGTGTGTGTGTCTGACAGCACAGCTTTATCAGTGTGTGTGTGTGTGTGTGTGTCTGACAGCACAGCTTCATCAGTGTGTGTGTGTGTGTGTGTGTGTCTGACAGCACAGCTTCATCAGTGTGTGTGTGTGTGTGTGTCTGACAGCACAGCTTCATAAGTGTGTGTGTGTGTGTGTCTGACAGCACAGCTTCATCAGTGTGTGTGTGTGTGTGTGTGTGTGTCTGACAGCACAGCTTTATCAGTGTGTGTGTGTGTGTGTGTGTGTCTGACAGCACAGCTTCATCAGTGTGTGTGTGTGTGTCTGACAGCACAGCTTTATCAGTGTGTGTGTGTGTGTGTGTGTCTGACAGCACAGCTTCATCAGTGTGTGTGTGTGTGTGTGTCTGACAGCACAGCTTCATCAGTGTGTGTGTGTCTGACAGCACAGCTTTATCAGTGTGTGTGTGTCTGACAGCACAGCTTTATCAGTGTGTGTGTGTGTGTGTGTGTGTGTGTGTGTGTGACAGCACAGCTTCATCAGTGTGTGTGTGTGTGTGTGTCTGACAGCACAGCTTCATCAGTGTGTGTGTGTGTCTGACAGCACAGCTTCATCAGTGTGTGTGTGTGTGTGTGTCTGACAGCACAGCTTCATCAGTGTGTGTGTGTGTGTGTGTGTGTCTGACAGCACAGCTTCATCAGTGTGTGTGTGTGTCTGACAGCACAGCTTCATCAGTGTGTGTGTGTGTGTGTCTGACAGCACAACTTCATCAGTGTGTGTGTGTGTCTGACAGCACAGCTTCATCAGTGTGTGTGTGTGTGTGTGTCTGACAGCACAGCTTTATCAGTGTGTGTGTGTGTGTGTGTGTCTGACAGCACAGCTTCATCAGTGTGTGTGTGTGTGTCTGACAGCACAGCTTTATCAGTGTGTGTGTGTGTGTTTGTCTGACAGCACAGCTTCATCAGTGTGTGTGTGTGTGTGTCTGACTGCACAGCTTCATCAGAGTGTGTGTGTGTTTGTGTGTGTGTCTGACTGCACAGCTTCGTGTGTGTGTGTGTGTGTGTGTGTGTGTGTGACAGCACAGCTTCATCAGTGTGTGTGTGTGTGTGTGTGTGTGTGTGTGTGTGTGTCTGACTGCACAGCTTCATCAGAGTGTGTGTGTTTGTGTGTGTGTCTGACTGCACAGCTTCGTGTGTGTGTGTGTGTGTGACAGCACAGCTTCATCAGTGTGTGTGTGTGACAGCACAGCTTCATCAGTGTGTGTGTGTGTGTGTGTGTGTCTGACAGCACAGCTTCATCTGTGTGTGTGTGTGTGTGTGTGTGTGTGTGTCTGACTGCACAGCTTCATCAGAGTGTGTGTTTGTGTGTGTGTGTGACAGCACAGCTTCATCTGTGTGTGTGTGTGTGTGTGTGTGTGTGTCTGACAGCACAGCTTCATCAGTGTGTGTGTGTCTGACAGCACAGCTTCATCAGTGTGTGTGTGTTGCAGGCGACGGCTGGCTGTACTGCGTGAGCAGGAACGAGTGGAGGCCGTTTGATCACGAACACACACAGCGGCCCAGGTGACCCTCCTCGTCTCTGTCATGATGATCTCCATGTGTGTGTGGTTCTGCCGGTTTCATGTGTGTTTTCTGCAGACTGTGGCACACGGCGTGTTTAGGCGCTGACGGGGAAGTGTTTGTGTTTGGAGGATGTGCAAATAATCTGCTCTCTCATCAACAAGCGGTGAGCAAAATATCAATATTTACTCCCTTATAACACGCAAACGCTGCTAATGCTGAAGCCGGAGTCAGTGAGGTTAGTTTAGCTAACTCTGTCCGGCCTCAGTTCGAGCTAACTCTGTCCGGCCTCAGTTCGAGCTAACTCTGTCCGGCCTCAGTTTGAGCTAACTCTGTCCGGCCTCAGTTCGAGCTAACTCTGTCCGGCCTCAGTTCGAGCTAACTCTGTCCGGCCTCAGTTCGAGCTAACTCTGTCCGGCCTCAGTTCGAGCTAACTCTGTCCGGCCTCAGTTCGAGCTAACTCTGTCCGGCCGGCCTCAGTTCGAGCTAACTCTGTCCGGCCGGCCTCAGTTCGAGCTAACTCTGTCCGGCCGGCCTCAGTTCGAGCTAACTCTGTCCGGCCTCAGTTTGAGCTAACTCTGTCCGGCCTCAGTTCGAGCTAACTCTGTCCGGCCTCAGTTCGAGCTAACTCTGTCCGGCCTCAGTTCGAGCTAACTCTGTCCGGCCTCAGTTCGAGCTAACTCTGTCCGGCCTCAGTTCGAGCTAACTCTGTCCGGCCGGCCTCAGTTCGAGCTAACTCTGTCCGGCCGGCCTCAGTTCGAGCTAACTCTGTCCGGCCGGCCTCAGTTCGAGCTAACTCTGTCCGGCCGGCCTCAGTTCGAGCTAACTCTGTCCGGCCTCAGTTTGAGCTAACTCTGTCCGGCCTCAGTTCGAGCTAACTCTGTCCGGCCGGCCTCAGTTCGAGCTAACTCTGTCCGGCCGGCCTCAGTTCGAGCTAACTCTGTCCGGCCTCAGTTTGAGCTAACTCTGTCCGGCCTCAGTTCGAGCTAACTCTGTTCGGCCTCAGTTTGAGCTAACTCTGTTCGGCCTCAGTTCGAGCTAACTCTGTCCGGCCTCAGTTCGAGCTAACTCTGTCCGGCCTCAGTTTGAGCTAACTCTGTCCGGCCTCAGTTTGAGCTAACTCTGTCCGGCCTCAGTTTGAGCTAACTCTGTCCGGCCTCAGTTTGAGCTAACTCTGTCCGGCCTCAGTTTGAGCTAACTCTGTCCGGCCTCAGTTTGAGCTAACTCTGTTCGGCCTCAGTTCGAGCTAACTCTGTCCGGCCTCAGTTTGAGCTAACTCTGTCCGGCCTCAGTTCGAGCTAACTCTGTCCGGCCTCAGTTCGAGCTAACTCTGTTCGGCCTCAGTTCGAGCTAACTCTGTCCGGCCTCAGTTTGAGCTAACTCTGTTCGGCCTCAGTTCGAGCTAACTCTGTTCGGCCTCAGTTCGAGCTAACTCTGTCCGGCCTCAGTTCGAGCTAACTCTGTCCGGCCTCAGTTTGAGCTAACTCTGTTCGGCCTCAGTTCGAGCTAACTCTGTCCGGCCTCAGTTCGAGCTAACTCTGTCCGGCCTCAGTTTGAGCTCACTCTGTTCGGCCTCAGTTCGAGCTAACTCTGTCCGGCCTCAGTTTGAGCTAACTCTGTCCGGCCTCAGTTTGAGCTAACTCTGTCTGGCCTCAGTTTGAGCTAACTCTGTTCGGCCTCAGTTCGAGCTAACTCTGTCCGGCCTCAGTTTGAGCAAACTCTTTCCGGCCTCAGTTTGAGCTAACTCTGTCCGGCCTCAGTTTGAGCTAACTCTGTCCGGCCTCAGTTTGAGCTAACTCTGTCCGGCCTCAGTTTGAGCTAACTCTGTCCGGCCTCAGTTTGAGCTAACTCTGTCCGGCCGGCCTCAGTTTGAGCTAACTCTGTCCGGCCGGCCTCAGTTTGAGCTAACTCTGTCCGGCCGGCCTCAGTTTGAGCTAACTCTGTCCGGCCTCAGTTTGAGCTAACTCTGTCCGGCCTCAGTTTGAGCTAACTCTGTCCGGCCTCAGTTTGAGCTAACTCTGTCCGGCCGGCCTCAGTTTGAGCTAACTCTGTCCGGCCGGCCTCAGTTTGAGCTAACTCTGTCCGGCCTCAGTTTGAGCTAACTCTGTTCAGCCTCAGTTCGAGCTAACTCTGTCCGGCCTCAGGAAGCCGGACTGCTCCTCACACTGAGAGTTTATTCCTGCCTTGTAAATGCGTTTACGTTCATGATATTTGCCATGAGAAGTGAAGTGAATCAAACCTTCGGTGCGGTCGGCTGTTCGCTTCACTCGGCTGTTGGTCAAACTCTGGATCGACCCGAGTAGACGGAGCGTTTATAGCGAGCTGAACCGGGCCGGGTTTGTGTGGTTTCGTCAGCTCCATCTATTCATCACAGAGCTAGTGAGGAGAAAACAAACGCTCACCTGTAGTCTGAAGGCAGACACACACACACACACACACACACAAGCTCGTCTCAGTGTAGAACGGTTCAGATCTAGCATGAGTCCTGCACTCCTCTTTCTGCTCCAGTCTCAGTGCACTTGTTTCTTCTTTCATTTGTATTTACAGGCTCACAGCAACGAATTACTGGTTTTCACGGTTCAGCCCAAATCTCTGGTCAGGTGAGTGGCTCTCCACAGTGTTGATCGTGTGTGTGTGTGTGTGTGTGTGTCCTCAGGCTGTGTTGATCGTGTGTGTGTGTGTGTGTGTGTGTCCTCAGGCTGTGTTGATCGTGTGTGTGTGTGTGTGTGTGTGTCCTCAGGCTGTGTTGATCGTGTGTGTGTGTGTGTGTCCTCAGGCTGTGTTGATCGTGTGTGTGTGTGTGTGTCCTCAGGCTGTGTTGATCGTGTGTGTGTGTGTGTGTGTGTGTGTCCTCAGGCTGTGTTGATCATGTGTATGTGTGTGTGTGTCCTCAGGCTGTGTTGATCGTGTGTGTGTGTGTGTGTGTCCTCAGGCTGTGTTGATCGTGTGTGTGTGTGTGTGTGTGTGTCTTCTCAGGCTGTGTTGATCGTGTGTGTGTGTGTGTGTGTGTGTGTGTGTGTGTGTCCTCAGGCTGTGTTGATCGTGTGTGTGTGTGTGTGTCCTCAGGCTGTGTTGATCGTGTGTGTGTGTGTGTGTCCTCAGGCTGTGTTGATCGTGTGTGTGTGTGTGTGTGTGTGTGTCCTCAGGCTGTGTTGATCGTGTGTGTGTGTGTGTGTCCTCAGGCTGTGTTGATCGTGTGTGTGTGTGTGTGTGTGTGTGTGTGTGTCCTCAGGCTGTGTTGATCGTGTGTGTGTGTGTGTGTCCTCAGGCTGTGTTGATCGTGTGTGTGTGTGTGTGTCCTCAGGCTGTGTTGATCGTGTGTGTGTGAGTGTGTGTGTCCTCAGGCTGTGTTGATCATGTGTGTGTGTGTGTGTGTCCTTAGGCTGTGTTGATCATGTGTGTGTGTGTGTGTGTCCTCAGGCTGTGTTGATCGTGTGTGTGTGTGTGTGTGTGTGTGTGTCCTCAGGCTGTGTTGATCATGTGTGTGTGTGTGTGTGTGTGTCCTCAGGCTGTGTTGATCGTGTGTGTGTGTGTCCTCAGGCTGTGTTGATCGTGTGTGTGTGTGTGTCCTCAGGCTGTGTTGATCATGTGTGTGTGTGTGTGTCCTCAGGCTGTGTTGATCATGTGTGTGTGTGTGTGTCCTCAAGCTGTGTTGATCGTGTGTGTGTGTGTGTGTGTCTCCTCAGGCTGTGTTGATCATGTGTGTGTGTGTGTGTGTCCTCAGGCTGTGTTGATCGTGTGTGTGTGTGTGTGTGTGTCCTCAGGCTGTGTTGATCGTGTGTGTGTGTGTGTGTGTCCTCAGGCTGTTGATCGTGTGTGTGTGTGTGTGTGTGTGTGTGTGTGTGTGTGTGTGTCCTCAGGCTGTGTTGATCGTGTGTGTGTGTGTGTGTGTCCTCAGGCTGTGTTGATCATGTGTGTGTGTGTGTGTGTCCTCAGGCTGTGTTGATCGTGTGTGTGTGTGTGTGTGTGTGTGTGTGTGTGTGTCTCCTCAGGCTGTGTTGATCATGTGTGTGTGTGTCCTCAGGCTGTGTTGATCGTGTGTGTGTGTGTGTGTGTCCTCAGGCTGTGTTGATCGTGTGTGTGTGTGTGTGTGTGTCTCCCCTCAGGCTGTGTTGATCGTGTGTGTGTCTCCTCAGGCTGTGTTGATCATGTGTGTGTGTCTCCTCAGGCTGTGTTGATCATGTGTGTGTGTCTCCTCAGGCTGTGTTGATCGTGTGTGTGTGTGTGTGTGTCCTCAGGCTGTGTTGATCGTGTGTGTGTGTGTGTCCTCAGGCTGTGTTGATCGTGTGTGTGTCTCCTCAGGCTGTGTTGATCATGTGTGTGTGTCTCCTCAGGCTGTGTTGATCATGTGTGTGTGTCTCCTCAGGCTGTGTTGATCGTGTGTGTGTGTGTGTGTCTCCTCAGGCTGTGTTGATCATGTGTGTGTGTGTGTGTGTGTGTCCTCAGGCTGTGTTGATCGTGTGTGTGTGTGTGTGTGTCCTCAGGCTGTGTTGATCGTGTGTGTGTGTGTGTGTGTGTCTCCCCTCAGGCTGTGTTGATCGTGTGTGTGTCTCCTCAGGCTGTGTTGATCATGTGTGTGTGTCTCCTCAGGCTGTGTTGATCGTGTGTGTGTGTGTGTGTCTCCTCAGGCTGTGTTGATCATGTGTGTGTGTGTGTGTGTGTGTCCTCAGGCTGTGTTGATCGTGTGTGTGTGTGTGTGTGTCCTCAGGCTGTGTTGATCGTGTGTGTGTGTGTGTGTGTGTCTCCCCTCAGGCTGTGTTGATCGTGTGTGTGTCTCCTCAGGCTGTGTTGATCATGTGTGTGTGTCTCCTCAGGCTGTGTTGATCATGTGTGTGTGTCTCCTCAGGCTGTGTTGATCGTGTGTGTGTGTGTGTGTGTCCTCAGGCTGTGTTGATCGTGTGTGTGTGTGTGTCCTCAGGCTGTGTTGATCGTGTGTGTGTCTCCTCAGGCTGTGTTGATCATGTGTGTGTGTCTCCTCAGGCTGTGTTGATCATGTGTGTGTGTCTCCTCAGGCTGTGTTGATCGTGTGTGTGTGTGTGTGTCTCCTCAGGCTGTGTTGATCATGTGTGTGTGTGTGTGTGTGTGTCCTCAGGCTGTGTTGATCGTGTGTGTGTGTGTCCTCAGGCTGTGTTGATCGTGTGTGTGTGTCTCCTCAGGCTGTGTTGATCGTGTGTGTGTGTGTGTGTCTCCTCAGGCTGTGTTGATCATGTGTGTGTGTGTGTGTGTGTGTGTGTGTGTGTGTGTCCTCAGGCTGTGTTGATCGTGTGTGTGTGTGTGTCCTCAGGCTGTGTTGATCGTGTGTGTGTGTGTCTCCTCAGGCTGTGTTGATCGTGTGTGTGTGTGTCTCCTCAGGCTGTGTTGATCGTGTGTGTGTGTGTGTCTCCTCAGGCTGTGTTGATCGTGTGTGTGTGTGTCTCCTCAGGCTGTGTTGATCATGTGTGTGTGTGTGTGTGTGTGTGTGTGTGTCCTCAGGCTGTGTTGATCGTGTGTGTGTGTGTGTCTCCTCAGGCTGTGTTGATCATGTGTGTGTGTGTCTCCTCAGGCTGTGTTGATCGTGTGTGTGTGTGTGTCTCCTCAGGCTGTGTTGATCGTGTGTGTGTGTGTCTCCTCAGGCTGTGTTGATCGTGTGTGTGTGTGTCTCCTCAGGCTGTGTTGATCGTGTGTGTGTCTCCTCAGGCTGTGTTGATCGTGTGTGTGTGTGTGTCTCCTCAGGCTGTGTTGATCATGTGTGTGTGTGTGTGTGTGTGTGTGTGTGTGTCCTCAGGCTGTGTTGATCGTGTGTGTGTGTGTGTCTCCTCAGGCTGTGTTGATCATGTGTGTGTGTCTCCTCAGGCTGTGTTGATCATGTGTGTGTGTGTCCTCAGGCTGTGTTGATCGTGTGTGTGTGTGTGTCTCCTCAGGCTGTGTTGATCATGTGTGTGTGTGTGTGTGTGTGTGTCCTCAGGCTGTGTTGATCGTGTGTGTGTGTGTCCTCAGGCTGTGTTGATCATGTGTGTGTGTGTGTGTCCTCAGGCTGTGTTCAGACGTGGCCGTCCGGCACCAGAAGCATCTTCAGCACTCGTGGGACGTTCTGCCTAAAGCCCTGTTCCAGCAGCTGCAGCAGAGGATCATGGGACACTCCTGAAGACAATCACACCAGAACACGTGGAGAACCATCGCCAGAGACTGTCATGAGACTCGTGTAGCAGAAGAATGGTTTACTCCGCCGGACAACACAAAAACCATCCCTGAACTGATTTCAACATTTTCAAATAGATTCTGAACAGCAGATCTGCATTAACTCGTCGCTCTCGACGCCGTTCTGCTCCTCAGTGTGACACAATCTCCCAATCGCAAGCATACCATCAACACTTTGTGTACAAAACACTAACATTTAAAGAAGGAACTGAAATCTGTTTTCCAAACCTTTGATTCACACATTTACTGAAACGAGACCATATGATTCACCACCTGATCCAGTCCAGACGTTCTGATGCAGATTTGTACCACAAGCCGAAATGTTGTTAATCTGTTTTTTGTTGTTTTTGATTTTTCCAATGTGTAAAATAAATGAAGCAGTGTTCACATTTATACTGTGATTTTGATTTATTTATTATTAAATCCAACGAGTTGAAGGGAAATGATGTGTTTTTAAAACACAAAGCTCAGGGTGTTCTGTCATCAAACACATGTGACTCTCCAGTCTGTGAGAAGGCGGTTCAGAGCATGATGGGATGCGCTTCACTTCTTCTTCGCTGCTAAGAGGTTCGGCGCCGACACCTTCACCTTCCCAGGCATGTTCCTGGACAGATCCGTGTCCTGTAAAACAGCGGCGTCACATGACTGATCCCGGCCAATCACCAGAGGCACAGACACGAGCTTCACATACCTTGACGCTCCGGAACAAGTCTTTCTCTCGAGCGCTGGCATCTTTCCCTCGCATGAAGCTCAGCACGGCCGTGCGGGCAGCTGCGCACACACACACACACACACACACACACACACACACACACACACACACACTCGTTAGGTCACATTCACACACACTTACAGCATTATCGCTTTACATAAAGCCAATCTTTACCTTTGCCCTTTTTCTGAGTCCCTGGCGTTAATTTTACTTTGTACCTGGAGTCAAAACAGGGCAGAATGTTGATTAAGCTCTGAGAGTGTTAATATGTGGCGTTGTGAATCTGTTAAACTGAATCCTGAAAGCACACTTGTAGTTGGCGAGCGCCATGTAGGGAGCGCAGACGGGCACGGAGAACATCAGCACATCGTCCGGGTGCGGCAGACCGGTCAGAGAGTCCAGAACGTCCTGATACACAACACTCACAATCACACATATCCAGTAATAAAGCTCAATCATACATCATAACTCGGACAGGAAGTCTGATTTCCACTTCCTGTTTGTCCTGCTTCCCTCACCTCAGCCACAGGGTTGTCCACGTCCTCCGTCTCCTGCAACACAACCACAGCTCAGTCAGTCCCACACTCACGACACAGAGCACGTGTAGTGTCTCGCCCAGAGCTGTACCTTGGAGTCGGGATCTTCGGCTTCGGCGTCTGCGCTCGGGCGGGCGATGGCCACGGCCTCGGGCTTCACAACCGCTTTCTGAGGAGGAGGAGGAGGAGGATGTTTCCTGACCGGCTCTTCTTTTATCCTCCCTTTCTTGCCCTTCTTCGGCTTCTCCTCCTTGCGGGATCCTGCGGACTGTCATGAGGAGGACAGACATACACTCAGGATATTTCCCCGAGCTCGTGTTATACGCATGTGAGACTGTGACTGACCCCCAATAGCTTCATCATCATCTCCCGGTCCTCTTCATCCTGGTCTTTGTACTTGTCCTTCATCTTCTTCAGTTTGTTCTGAGAGAAACAGGCATCAGTGGCTGGATCAGCTGACCGTGACAGTGCTGGTGGAGCTTAGGGTTACTCACCTTCTGTCCTCTCTTCAGCGGCTCGGTGGCCCCGCTCCTGCGCTCCGGCTCTGTGGCCCCGCCGCTCCTGCGCTCCGGCTCTGTGGCCCCGCCGCTCCTGCGCTCCGGCTCTGTGGCCCCGCCGCTCCTGCGCTCCGGCTCTGTGGCCCCGCCGCTCCTGCGCTCCGGCTCTGTGGCCCCGCCGCTCCTGCGCTCCGGCTCTGTGGCCCCGCCGCTCCTGCGCTCCGGCTCTGTGGCCCCGCCGCTCCTGCGCTCCGGCTCTGTGGCCCCGCCGCTCCTGCGCTCCGGCTCTGTGGTCCCGCCGCTCCTGCGCTCCGGCTCTGTGGCCCCGCCGCTCCTGCGCTCCGGCTCGGTGGCCCCGCTCCTGCGCTCCGCACCGCTGGGAGTCTCCGCGTCTGTGGCGCCGCTCTCCTCGGGACCGTCCACACTCTCCGGCCTCTGCTTCTTCATGTCCCTGGTGACAGCAACAGGTGTTAGTGTGTGTGTGTGTCGTCTCACCTGCGCTGTTGTGTGTGTGGTCTCACCTGCGCTGTCTGGCCGTCAGGTGTTTTCTCCCATGAGCCTCGGCTGTGCTTGCCTGCAGGACACACACACTTTAAACATCTGCACATTGAGTTTAAACGGAGTCATGTGATCAGTTGGTCACGCACCTGATGCGACTCGCCCTGCGTGAAGGCGTTGGTGTGAAGAGTCCTGTGGAGAGAGAAACACGGACTGAAGCTATCGCCCCGTCACGCACGCACACACACGCACACCTGCGCACACACCAGCACACACACAAGCACACACACCAGCACACACACACATGCACACCTGTTGGGCTGCAGATGTGACAGGGAGATGCTGGTGTCGGGGAAGCTGATCTCGGCGCTCTGGTCTTCCTCGTCTCTGGTGTTGCTCTCGGCCTGCGGCTCCTCCTCCTCCTCCTCCTCTTCCTCACGCTCGCTGTCTTCACCTGACACACAGCACAGAGTTTGAGTATCTGACGGGGGCTTGAGAATGAGGAGAGATGATGATGATGTTCATGAACCTAAGAGTTCGTCTCCTTCCTCCAGGAGGTCTGCAGTGCTGGACGCCACGTCCTCTTCCTCATCCAGGGTCTTCATCTTCCTCTCTCCTCGATGCCTGAAGACACTCTGATCATCGACCTGCAACAGCAGAAGAAGAGAGTCCTGATGACGATGATCACATGACCACTGATAACCGATGATAAACAACAGCGTCTTCACCTTGAACAGAAACCCAAAGCCCATGATCAGATATGATGGAGGTAGGAAGTTTTTCTTCCCTGTGGAAAAGCCAAAAAGAACATTTAGTGATCTTCCCCATATAGTGATCTGCAGATGAGCTGACCTCTGACCTCTGATCATGAAGCTGCCGGTGGTCAGGTACTCTCCCGTCGGAGCGGTTTTGGTCACCTGATGATGATGGACCCACCAGGCGCTGGTGATGACCTTGGCGTCCCAGGCCGCGCTGTAGCAGACGCCCATGGTGCCGGCCTCGGTCAGCGTGCGGGGGGGAACCGGCTGGCCTGCGGGAGCAGAGCACGCTCATGAGTACTAGCACAGGTCAAAGGTCACGGGGTCGATTCCCAGGTAACGCATGAACTGATCACATGTAATAATTCAATGCAATGCAAGTCGCTTTGGATAAAAGCCTCTGCCAAGGAGAGCTTTGAGTTCAGTCACCTGATCAGGACAGTTTCACGCTATAAACTCGACCTATCAGACCAAACGTCAATCACTGTCACTCCCTCACTGTCACTCAATCACTGTCACTCAATCACTGTCACTCAATCACTGTCACTCACTCACTGTCACTCACTCACTGTCACTCACTCACTGTCACTCACTCACTGTCACTCACTCACTGTCACTCACTCACTGTCACTCAATCACTGTCACTCACTGTCACTCACTCACTGTCACTCACTCACTGTCACTCACTCACTGTCACTCAACCACTGTCACTCACTCACTGTCACTCACTGTCACTCACTCACTGTCACTCACTCACTGTCACTCACTCACTGTCACTCAACCACTGTCACTCACTCACTGTCACTCACTCACTGTCACTCACTCACTGTCACTCAATCACTGTCACTCACTGTCACTCACTCACTGTCACTCACTCACTGTCACTCACTCACTGTCACTCACTCACTGTCACTCACTCACTGTCACTCAATCACTGTCACTCAATCACTGTCACTCACTCACTGTCACTCACTCACTGTCACTCAACCACTGTCACTCAATCACTGTCACTCAATCACTGTCACTCAATCACTGTCACTCACTCACTGTCACTCACTCACTGTCACTCAATCACTGTCACTCAATCACTGTCACTCAATCACTGTCACTCACTCACTGTCACTCACTCACTGTCACTCACTCACTGTCACTCACTCACTGTCACTCAACCACTGTCACTCAACCACTGTCACTCACTCACTGTCACTCACTCACTGTCACTCACTCACTGTCACTCACTGTCACTCACTCACTGTCACTCACTCACTGTCACTCACTCACTGTCACTCAACCACTGTCACTCAACCACTGTCACTCACTCACTGTCACTCACTCACTGTCACTCACTCACTGTCACTCACTCACTGTCACTCAATCACTGTCACTCACTGTCACTCACTCACTGTCACTCACTCACTGTCACTCAACCACTGTCACTCACTCACTGTCACTCACTCACTGTCACTCACTCACTGTCACTCACTCACTGTCACTCAATCACTGTCACTCACTGTCACTCACTCACTGTCACTCACTCACTGTCACTCAATCACTGTCACTCACTCACTGTCACTCACTCACTGTCACTCACTCACTGTCACTCACTCACTGTCACTCACTCACTGTCACTCACTCACTGTCACTCAATCACTGTCACTCAATCACTGTCACTCACTCACTGTCACTCACTCACTGTCACTCAACCACTGTCACTCAATCACTGTCACTCAATCACTGTCACTCACTCACTGTCACTCACTCACTGTCACTCAATCACTGTCACTCAATCACTGTCACTCAATCACTGTCACTCACTCACTGTCACTCACTCACTGTCACTCAATCACTGTCACTCAATCACTGTCACTCAATCACTGTCACTGTCACTCAATCACTGTCACTCAATCACTGTCACTCACTCACTGTCACTCAATCACTGTCACTCACTGTCACTCACTCACTGTCACTCACTCACTGTCACTCAACCACTGTCACTCACTCACTGTCACTCACTCACTGTCACTCACTCACTGTCACTCACTCACTGTCACTCAATCACTGTCACTCACTGTCACTCACTCACTGTCACTCACTCACTGTCACTCACTCACTGTCACTCAATCACTGTCACTCACTCACTGTCACTCACTCACTGTCACTCACTCACTGTCACTCAATCACTGTCACTCACTCACTGTCACTCAATCACTGTCACTCAATCACTGTCACTCACTCACTGTCACTCACTCACTGTCACTCAATCACTGTCACTCAACCACTGTCACTCACTCACTGTCACTCACTCACTGTCACTCACTCACTGTCACTCACTCACTGTCACTCACTCACTGTCACTCACTCACTGTCACTCAATCACTGTCACTCACTCACTGTCACTCACTCACTGTCACTCAATCACTGTCACTCACTCACTGTCACTCACTCACTGTCACTCAACCACTGTCACTCACTCACTGTCACTCAACCACTGTCACTCACTCACTGTCACTCACTCACTGTCACTCACTCACTGTCACTCAATCACTGTCACTCAACCACTGTCACTCACTCACTGTCACTCACTCACTGTCACTCACTCACTGTCACTCACTCACTGTCACTCAATCACTGTCACTCACTCACTGTCACTCACTCACTGTCACTCACTCACTGTCACTCACTGTCACTCAATCACTGTCACTCACTCACTGTCACTCACTCACTGTCACTCACTCACTGTCACTCACTCACACTGT